TGCTGAGGACAGAAGGTAGGAGACAAGGGCAGGAGCGTGGAGGCCTCCTGCAGCACCCCGGGAGAGAGGGGACGGTGCCTGGGACCAGGGTTCTAGAAATGACCGGACTTTGAGTACATTTTGAAGTGGAGCTCACAGGATTTAGGATGGGGTGGATGTAGGATGTGAAAGGAGTGAGGGTTTTAGCGTGAGCAACTAGGAGGCTGAAGCTGCTGTGTACTCAGGGGAGGACTGCGAGGGGCAGCTGGCACGTGGCGCATTTCTGCCTCAGGGCACTTCAATTTCACACACCTGGAGAGAGAACACAGGGAAAATGTCGGCTTTCACTAACCTTCTAGGAGGAACCAAGCAACCCTTGCTCTCATGTTTTTATTTTAGGACAAAATCCGTAGAAAAGGACTGGTATAGTTGGTTAATCCCCTTAGTACACTAACAGCTCTGAACTGGGGGGCAGTGTCTGGTGACAATTTAGCCCTTTTATGTAAGATGGCAATATGCTCTGCTTACTATGTATTTTGAAATTTAGAACTATCTTCTTTTTTGAACCCTTTTTTTCTATTTCTTTGTATTTCTACTTTTAAGTGTATATCCTACCCTTTCTCACATTTTCCTCCTCCAAGCTGTAGATCGATTCCTGCCATAAACTCCTCAATGCATTTACTTCCCTGATACTTTTTAAAGTTTTTTTTTTTTTAAGAAATTTTTTTTTTAAGATTTTATTTTTTTCCTTTTTCTCCCCAAAGCCCCCCGGTACATAGTTGTATATTCTTCATTGTGGGTCCTTCTAGCTGTGGCATGCGGGATGCCGCCTCAGCGTGGTTTGATGAGCAGTGCCATGTCCATGCCAGGACTCGAACCAACGAAACACTGGGCCGCCTGCAGCGGAGCGCATGAACTTAACCACTCGGCCACGGGGCCAGCCCCTAAAGTTTTTTTTTTTAACACAGATGTAGTGAATTCCCCTTTCTCTGTGCCAAGAACCCCTAATTCTTTCCACTAATAACTAATTGATGTCTCACAATTTCTACCACTCTATTGAGTATTAGAAATCTCATTTCAAATGAAATTGATCATCAAAAGATTGGGATCTGAATGATTACTTCTTACCTCCAACGAGAAGTAGCCTTTGGTCTACCATTCTTTTTAGATAGGCAAGGGAGGCTAACAGAACAAGGGGCCATTTGTCTAAGCTACTCCCATTTATACCAGCTGGTCCACATACATTGAAATCTTCTCAAATAAAGGACTCACAGCACAAACCCATACACAAAGCAACAACTCCACATTGATTATGTAACACCCCAGGGTGTTTCCAAGTTACTCATGAGTCTTAAAATGGTTAATTTTAAGTCACTTTATTTATTTTTTTTTGAGGAAGATTAGCCCTGAGCTAACTGCTGCCCATCCTCCTCTTTTTGCTGAGGAAGACTGGCCCTGAGCTAACATTTGTGTCCATCTTCCTCTACTTTCTATGTGGGATGCCTACTACAGCATGGCTTGCCATGTGGCGCCATGTCCTCACCTGGGATCCAAACTGGCGAACCCTGGGCCACCGAGAAGCGGAACGTGTGCACTTAACCATTGCGCCACTGGGCAGGCCCCTAAGTCACTTTAAAATAAACAAGGAAAACATAGACACACATCATTTAGAAGCTTTAGGGTAAGAAAGTTGTCCTGAAACTCTCAACAATAGGAAATCAACTCTCAATAGTTCAGAATTATGGGTCTCAATTTGTGAATATATAACTGGGAGTCAAGACAAGACTCTGCTCCCTGACATTAGAAAATAGATATTCTTTCTTTTGGGGCCGGCCCTGTGGCCGAGCTAAGTTCGTGTGCTCAGCTTCTGCAGCCCAGGGTTTCGCCAGTTCGGATCCTGGGCGCAGACATGGCACCGCTCATCAAGCCATGCTGAGGCGGCATCCCACATGCCACAACTAGAAGGACCCACAACTAAAATATACAACTATGTACTGGGGGGCTTTGGGGAGGAAAAGGAAAAATAAAATATTTAAAAAAAAAAGATATTCTTTCTTCCTGAGGCAAAAACTGGGTCAGCTCATCTCTGCTTCTTGGGCACAGAGCTAGTCTACATCCCTCCGCCTCCTTCAGCTAGGTGTGGCCAGGTGCCTGTGTTTCTCACTAATTTTGTGGGAGAAAGTGATGCACGTAGTTTCCAGGTCTGGCTGTTAAAAACCACTCCAGTTTGATTCTCTCCTCTCTGCCATCATCTTCCAATTGAACATTGAACCAGCGCAACCTTGGAAGCCAAGTGAAGACAGCAGAGCTGCTGGAAGCCTGGTTCTTGAATGACAGCGTGGAGAAGGGTCCTCCCATCTCCACTGATTTGGACCCACATTAGACTGTTAGTGGAGAGACAAGGTTCTATTATGTTCAGCTACTGATATTTGGGGTGGGTATGGTACAGCAGTTAGCCTCTCTTAATACAGAAATTGGTACTGAAATGGGACGTTCATCACAAAAACCTAAAATAAGACACTTGCCTTGGTGATCGGGAAGGAAACCAATACAGGAAGGCTGGAAAAATGGAGACCCATGTTATTTAGGGGGCAAAACATCTGATAAAACGGTCTCCTGTGGCAATTTGGATGGTTCACTTCACAATCAAAACTATGTATTAAGTACATAGCCTGAAGCTCTAGTCTAAGAGGAAGGGTTGAAAAGTCGTTAGTGTGTTGTGACTTTTACATTACCATCATTATAAGAAAGACCTAAGCTTAGGAAATAATTGGCTCATTGTAAGCAGAATTAAAGGCAGAGCCAAGAAAAGTGGGGCCTCGAAGGGTTGTAAAAGTTCATTTCCTTGTTCTGGGACATCAGATAATAAGAGGTAAGTTTGAAACAAGCTTTGAATACAAAAGTCCAGTAAGACTCAGTCATGTAGCAAAAATCATATTAAGGTTTTTCCATTCATATCTCTTTCAGATGAACTCAAGACAGCCACTGAGAGCAGACTGGAAGTGAGACAGCAGAGAAATTAATCAGTCTTGAGGACTGTGCATATGAAAGAACACTGAGTGTGGTTACTGGTATGTAGAATCGACTGGAGCAAGTAGATCAGAAGCCTCCTAAAGGTTACTGAATAAATTGTTTTGCCAAAGAAACTATAAATCCAGATTTCAAAAGCCATTGACCCTTTTCCAAGCCTTTAGACAATGCTCAGTCCCCCAGATTGGTAACAGCAGTAAGCTAAGAGGGCTGTGCCACTCCCAAGGAGCGCAGATGTAACACCTACTTCAGATGGGGCCAGGGGCAATGGACAAAGGAGTTCCTCCCAAAGAAGATAATTAGAATCTTAAATAAAGGAACTTCCCCAACCCCTTCACAAGGCCCACCAGCAAGATTTTCTAATTGTTGGGGCCAGCGATTGCTGTATTTCCCTTTCTTCCCTTTTCTCAGTGAGATTTGCTATTGCAGTTATCCTGTCCCTGCTCCAACACTGTATATGGGGTAGTTGTCTAGAGCTCTGCTTGCCAGATCATCAAGAGCCACAATCAAGACCTGAAGGTGGGGCTGGCCTGGTGGCACAGCGGTTAAGTTTGCACATTCTGCTTTGGTGGCCCGGGGTTCGCTTGTTCGGATCCCAGGTGTGGACATGGTACCGCTTGGCAAGCCATGCTGTGGTAGGCGTCCCACATATAAAGTAGAGGAAGATGGGGACGGATGTTAGCTCAGGGCCAGTCTTCCTCAGCAAAAAGAGGAGGATTGGCAGCAGATGTTAGCTCAGGGCTAATCTTCCTCAAAGGAAAAACAAAAAAGACCTAAAGGTGGGCCAGCCTCAGTTGCCTAGTGGTTAAGTTCAGTGTGCTCTGCTTTGGCAGCCCGGCCCAGTTCCTGGGCATGGACGCATATGGCTCTGTTAGCGGCCATGCTGTGCATGGTGGCCCACATACCAAAGAAAATAAAGGAAGATTGGCACGAATGTTAGCTCAGGGCGAATCTTCCTCAGGAGGAAAAAACAAAGACCTGAAGGAGAGCACAGGGCATCACAGAGGATTCTGAACCCAGGTCAGCTGAGTGAATGGATGGGGTATGGGCCCCTCTCCTCGGGAGAAAGCTATGTACGGTCTATGTGAGGTAAAATGAAGGACCGTTAACTGACTACTGAACTGTGCTCATCTTATGCTTCACAGCCTCCCTTGCAGGTTGATATGGCCATGTGACTGATTCCAGCCAGTGACATGTGCCTAGAGAAGTGATGTACCCCATTTCCAGGCCTGGTATGAAAACTTCCATAAACAACCCTCATTCTCCTTTCCTGATATGTCGGCTGGATGCTGATATCCAAAGGAACCTTGGAAGCCACATGTTGATGAGGGCAGAGTCCCAGGAGTCTAGGACCCTGAATGACTGGCTGCATGGTGCAGAGCCCTTCCCACACATCAGACTGTCAGAATTGCCCAACTTCGGGAAATTCCATTTGGCATTCTCAAATCCCTTCTGTGATACAATGAATAACACTAACACCTAATGAGCTCTCACAATGTGCCAGGTACTGTTCTAAGCACGTTATACGTGTTAACTTACTTAATCCCTACCACCACCCTGATAGTCCCCATTTTACAGACAAGGAAACTGAGGCCACAGAAAGGTTAGGCAACTTATCCAAAATCACAGCTTTGTGGCTTTTTTTTTGCCACACAGTAAGTGGCAAAGCTGGAATTCAAACCCAGCCTGGCTGCCTGGCTCTAGTGACTAGCCTGAACCACAACATCCCATCGCCAGTGTTATTTCCATTACTGTGCATCAACCGCTCGTGCAGATCACAAAATGCCCATCTTTTCTATCAGCAGGTAGCTGTCCGCCTGCGATGGTTATCTGGAAGTTACTTTAATGGCTTGGAGATGCCCATTTCTTCTGGTGTTCAGGCATGTAGCCCTAAGTCACAGTGCCTGGGGGTAAGTTATTTAAACGGGCAGGGAGATAGAGAGAGGACAAAAGTAACCATCTCACTTTAAAAGAAATTGATCAAACAAGAGTCTTATGATAAAAACTTTATTGTCTTAAATATCAAATGTTTTACACATCACTTTTTCTTCAGAAAGTTCCTATTAAAAAAAGAAAAATAAAATAAATTGTTTTGATTATTTAGGGCTGACTTACATTTCAGTATGTGACAAAAACTCAAACCCAAATGCATCTAGTTCACTCAACGGCAGACAGGTCCTATGTCTAGCCCCTAAACCAATGGCACAACACAACCAACTTTGGGATTCCTGAGTTTGGTTCCCTTAAGTTCTCAGAGTTTTCCCAACTCTCAAAACCAAAGCATTATGGGAGTGACTGAGCTATTGGCAAGTCTATTTTGCCAATCAGCCTAGTTCTTAAGATGCAGTAGTCTCACAGCTTAGAGAAAGTCAGTAAAGCAATACATGAGCAATTGCAAGAACAAACAAGGGGACAGAGAAAAGAGGGGTTTCTCTTTGCTCAGATTTGCCAAATGTGGCTACAAAACTGGCAAACAAGCCCAACTTGCCATGAAATGAGACTTTGAATAAAAATGAGCAAATCAATTTTCATCATAAGTGCACACTGAGAGAAGCAAATGCAATCAATAGTTGAATTGCTCTGAGTAGATCGCCAGAACATTTCAAAAGGCAGATCAGGAGACTAAAGAATGGAAATACAATCGTTCAGAGGGAAAGGTCTCAGATGGGCGGCATAAACGCAGAAAGCCGCGGGGCCTTCAGGGAAGGAAAGAGAAGTCTGGTTGGCTTCAGGTAATCTCAGACCAAAAGAATCTGGAAACAAACTGATCTGACTGCCCTGGGGAGGAAATAGAGTTTACCTTTCTTTAAGCCACAGACGCATTCATCCAAGGGTGTGTGAAGAACCAACCCCTGGTGAACAAAATCATTTCCCATCAGACAGGTATTTTCCCCGGAAAAAGCACCCCAGCATACCTCTTCCCCAAGTCAGCTACTGAAGACCTTCTTGTACCTATTTAAAGAAATATACTTCTGTAGGAATTATTCTAATTTTGTATTCCATGCCTCCACCCCACGTCTTCTATAGTTTGCTGAACTTTTTTAGGTAAAAGAAACATTCTCTCACTCCTACACCCTTGGACCATTTTCTCTGTAGATTTTATTCCATAAAATTGTGCCCTAAAACTTATCAGCTATATCCTCTCACCTTTTACAGCCCCTAGAGGGTCTAGATTATCAATCTTCAATACACAACTGATAAATGTGAGAGTTTTCTAATTGTAAGCCTCAGAAGCCACTAGTAGTTAAGGTCTAGAAATTCTACCCGTATGCCTCAGGATTACAACATACATTGTGATATTTTAAATAATGGATTAAAGAATGTCCTTTTGATGGAGCTGTCCTGTAGAAAGATCTGGTAGTCTCGAATCCCTTTGTAAATAAATTCTGCCCACCATCCAGTCCTAGAACCATCGCGTGCTACATTTTCTGCTCTAGATCCCCGTTTTTCACATCTTGCGCTCAGCTGCTTTTAAACTACAAAACCCTGCAGAATCCTCTGCTAAGTCCTACTGGCCCAGATGGTCAGTATTCCAGAGCAGCTGTGCTCAAAAAGGAGGTGGGGAGGACACCGCAGCACACTCCTTATCTCTACCCTGTGTGGAAGGAGGTCCTGATGAAAGGAAAAGCTGACTGTCACTGGTGCATATTTAGCATCATCTTCCACTGACTTGCGCTTCTCTTTGCCCATTCTCCCCCTGCCCCACCTCTTCAAGGATTTCTACCAAGCGTCAAACATTTTTTGTTGGTTTCTAATTCCACTTTTTAAAATATTTTATTTTTTAGAGCAGTTTTAGGTTCACAGCATCTAATTCCATTTTGAGCCTGGGGATTTTCCCAGTCTTCTCTGAATTTGAACCAAATCGCTCTAGTATGACTTTTAAAATAAAAGCATACTAATAGGCAAAAACGGATCTTGCTCTAGAAGCTAAAATTTGTTGTGTCTCCTTACTAGATCGAAAGTTTCACGAGAGCAGAGCTCCAATCTGCTTTAGTGACCCCTGTGCCCCCAGAGCTCACTAGAGCCTCGGACATTGGCACTTCCAGTTTGATGAAAGAACTGATCAATTCCTGTTCAAAGACTCACACTGCATAGCTTTCAAGAGTACTGTTTGTTCAAATATATAAATTTTCTCGAACTGTTTCTCTGCCTTAACTGCTACAATACTGATAGTACAACAAAGAACATAGTAAACATCTAGAAACCACTTTTGGGTATTCCTGATGCAAAAAACTCATATTATAATCCTTCTATCTGGGGAAATCAAAGACTTGGTGCAGGATAATTCTGAATCAACAATAAAGATGAGCCTCAGGACTACTCCACGAGTGGCTTCTCTCTTCAAGAGGGCCATTTTCAAACTCCCCCAGCTCCCTCTGATACTTCCACTTTTATTCTCCACCAAAATTTGATGCCTCTGCTATTTGGAGAAACTAAGGCACAAGAGAAAACCAAGCACATCAAAGGCTCGCCCTTAAGTTCTTTAGTTTATTCAGTGAACTCGTAGGATACCTACTGAGGGACCATTAAGATCTAGAACTTGAATCAGGATTTTATATTTCTAGTTCTCAAGGACATGCTTTGAATTTAGTTTGTCTTTTAATAGGAATTGACATTTTTGATTCTGTCAGAAAAAAAAAAAGCTATTTTTATCTTATGGACCTCCTAACATGAAAGGTAACATTTATCTTCTAGGAAGAGAAACTCTTGATAACTGTTTGGTTCTCTCTAGTTCAGCCAGGCTACACTTGGTCACCAAATTCAAAGGAGAAATTTGGCTTTTTGGTACATGCGCTAGAGAATGGCAGGATGCACAATCCAGTTAGCTTCTCTTATGATGTGCCACCAGTGGCAACAAGTGAAGTTTGCAGCGGTTCAGTTACCCTGCTTACCCTCACTGCAGGGGCCGAGCAGGCAGGAAAAAGAAATCAGAATGCACTGCAACTCTCCTGCCCAGGTATGTGCAAGGCCGTTTTATATACACGGTGGGATAAAAGCCACCACAAGTGAGGAATATATCTGTAGATATAAAAATTGTTTGCTTTTTAATCTATGTAAAAATTAACTGTAGGATATTTGTCAATCACATATGTATATATACACATGAACTGAAAAGTTAAACCAACTAAATTTTTATGGCTTTTACTAGAGATAGAAAGCTGTGGTAAGGGAAGAACAGGCAGATTCCACTTTAACTGGCTATCATAAAATCCGTGATACAAAGTCTCATGTATCTTTCCATTTTTATGCAATCCCTTGCTGGAGAGATGCATAGGGAAAAAAACAAATGGGGTGTGTCTCCCTTTAGTACATATGGAGACAAACAGCTCCAGAAAGTTCCATAGGCTGCAAGGCAGGATAGTTTTAACACACACTCACCATCTATCCAGTCCCCTTTGCCAAGCAACTGGTAATCTTTATATGTTAATGCTTAAAGCCCAAACTGTGGGAATGAAGGCTAATGGCTGATGTCTGGAGGCCTAAACAGATACAAGTGGAAATAATTCTTACCAGCTCCAAGGGGCAAAATCTAGGTGTAGCTGTCTGATTACCAGGTACATTCTTATACACAGGAACCAATTTAAGGGAAATACAAAAGTTATACAGGAAAATCTTCCCCTCTTTTTGGTGAATAAACAGAGACCACTCTTGGAGGTAAGCGCTGACCACAGAGCTGTCCATTCCTGTTTATGGCAAAGGAGCCGTCCATTAAAGTGGCCCATCACTGGTTATGGCTGGCCCTTATCAGTTCTACTGGCAACCAGAGGAGTTCACAATGATTTCACCTTATTCTTGGAGAAGTTAATCTCTAATTTCTGCACTTCAAATAAAATTTGACAATGAAGGTTTGCTAGTGTCGCGTTCCTTAATTCCCTTTGTGTTCTAGAACTGCTAAATTTAAAAATGATTCAAATGCCTAACAATGTCAACTTTACTTTCACACAAATGATGGACAAGAAATACAATTTTAAAAATCAAAAGCAATTATACATTGAAAAATAAATGATTAAAAAAAGGACATCTGGCAAGTGGGTTAAGCTCATTCAAAGTATTCCTAACAAGAGTATGTGGACAACTATAGGCCTAGTCAGTTTTCTCCTAAAAATAAATATACAGATACATACATAAAAAGCTATTGTAATGAAACCTTCTCCAGATTGATATCGTATATTCCACCTGGGACCGATTCCCAAATCTCCACATTGTGAAAATTCAGTGGCCAAGTGTCTGAGCAGTGCGCCATACGGCTCACACAGAAAACCACCAGGCCCATTTCCACACAGAAGGCCTTTTTGGAGGAGTCTATTGTCATTGATAAATTCCCTCACCCTACATCCACCCCACTCCATGGCCCTAAAGATTTATAAGCTTAGAATAAATTCCCAGTCACCACCCATAAAGGAAATACAGGGGTTCATTGCATTGCTACTAGATTTTGCTTCAATCATAGCACCAACTACTTAATTACCATCACAGCTCTAAAAGTTGGTTGACAGAAATCCTATAAGCAGTTTCCTAGTGCATCTTACATCTTTGGTGTAGGGCAGGCAAAAGGGTCTACAACATGTGATTGTCTCAAAGAACATTTTAAAGACAATCAGGCGAACCTGTTGTTCTGAGCACCCTCTTAAAAACAGTAAACTACAACTCTTTCTGCCAATCATTTCCTAACTTCAGAGGATCATGATGAATTTATGTGACTTTCCATCACATCACTAAAGTCTCATAACACACATACAAACATCATAGCAAAAAGAGAGAAGACGGATAGGGTGGAAGAGAAATGTCTCTAAGTGCCCCCAAATTAAAATTTCAAAAACTCCTGAGATATGAGCCTCCATTTTGATTGTGCTCCATGATTGAATTTGATGGAAAGAATAAGTTTTCAAAGAGAGTCAGACTTTAGACAAAATCATTTAACACTAAGTTCACAAATCACCCCTTCAAAGCTGCTGTTTCAAATGCATTGCAAACTATAATCTGGAATCAGGAATTATTGTTCTCAAAATTCTTTTCAATAAAACCAAGATTTCAGATTCCTGCTAGGTACATAGAGAGAAGTTTATTTTCCAGGAAAAAATTATCTAGTAGGATTATTGCACAGTGGGACCCACAGGACAATGATTTCCAAGGGCTAGTCCTCATATAAAAAAGGCCACAATAAATACATCTATGCACTATGCCCCACTCTAACTTGACAGGGTAAACACAAATATGACAAATCTTGCTTAAAAAAGAAACTCCTGAGGAAAGAAAGGGATGGAAAACTCTACCAAGGCCACTTGAGTCAGCAACTGCAATTCCTACCTCCAATGCCACAGAGGACACTCACCAAACAGACTGACCATTCCAAGCACCGAGATGGACGAGTGATAAGGTTATCATCACATTTGAATATTTCATTCAGACCACAGCTCCAAGTGAGCTTCAGAAGAACTTCCTAGTAGAAGATGAATTTAGAAAGGAAATAAACTGCTGGCATCAAACCATGCACTGAACTGAAATCATCATTAGTCATTAAGGGTTGAGGTGTGATTAGTGAGATATTAGCAAACCCAATCTCCAGTAAATTCCAGTGTTTAGGCCATTATTTTTCACTTACAGTTCTTGAAAACATCACCCAAAGATTTGCAAATGGAATTACAGTTTGGTTTTGTTTTTTAAGTCTGGGTAGCACCATATTTTCCTCAACTGTCAATTCTTCCACAATATCCCACCCAAGATATTTGGCAATCCATGCAGCAGCCTGTGATGTACAAAGCAGCCCAAGTTAAACCCTCCCGGCTCATCCCATTAAAATGTCAAATCCTAACCACAAGAATAAAAACATACCACTCTAGGAGATATTAATCAATTATTCTTCAATTTCCTCTTATAATTGATGAATCATAATACATAGAGCATTGGGTATAATTCCAAACACCACACCATGTGGTTAAAAGTTTGTAAATTGACAACTGAGTCAACAAGCCATATCTTGCATAACTTCACAGACACAGCCAAAGTGTGAAGTTGATCTGCTTTTAGCTGCATGTGCAGTGGGATTTCTCAAGGCTTCGGCTTTTCAAAGCATTCACTCTCATTCTAAAATGGTATGCTATACACAAAACCATCAATTTATTCCAGAATACATCATCTTAATGAGAATAAAAAGCTTTTCTATGCACATACTGCCACTACATTTAAAAAGGCCCAAATTTTAACAAATAGAATAGACAAATTCATCAGACGAGATCATAAATTACTTTGGCCGAAAAAAATCTTTAAAAAAAATCTGGCTCAACATTCTGCTTGCAGGTTTCTACATATACTGTATATGTGGTGAGTGTGTGTGCGTGTGTGTGTAGCTTTTTTAAGGGAATGGAGTACAGTCTAGCCCACTTTTCCATGGTTATGTAGGAACTACAATGTTCTTTGCTAGCAAAACAAGAAGTGCAAGGTCTGCATTTCCACCAACTCGATGCAAAGCCCCAAGAGCTTCCTGCAAAGTAAAGCCAGCACGGAGAATCCGGTCAATGTCCGCGGCAGGAAAAATTAACGGGGGAAGAATGGAGGGACGTGATGACGGATGGCTGGTAGGTGGTTCAAATTCAAGAAGTGGCCCTGAAGCTTCAGGACAGACATCCTCTCTGGTCTCAGGCCTGTCTGTCACTGGATTCTGTGTGCCCTGACCCAAATCTGTAACCAATATGAAATCGGATGACAAGGATTTAGTTTGCTCAGAAGTTTGATTGAGTGCATCCTCCTCACCTGCTAAAAGTTTGGGTGAAATTTCTACACCTAAGGTGTAGGGTAACTGATTAGACGTTTCAGCTGAGGCTGGAGTGACAGAACTGCTCTCGTTTATTGATTCCCCAGACTTGGGAACATTCTCCTTATCTGTTAACAGGCCATCACCTGGACCCCTGAAGTTCATATTTTCTACATCTTCTATTCCAGTGTCAGCTGAAGCATATGTTAATTTTTCTGTCTTCACTGATACAGACACGGCCTGGTGAAAGGAGACTTGTGAACACTGCTCCTTCTGGGTAGCTGTAAGATGCTCATTGTGGGTCCATCTTTCAGAAAGGTCCTTAATACTTGTTTGGTCCTCAGTTACCATTTCTGATTGATAGATAACTTCTTCAGATGTATTGTCTGAAGCTGGTTTATTACTAATGACCAAAAGTTCATGAAGTTCCTTCAAGGCTGCCGTTATAGATGAGCAAGCTTCCTCTGCTGACTCCACAGAGGGCTGACAGTTGCCACAGGGATTTAAGGAGGGGGAGCCTTCCCCACATTCTTTATTTGTTCCAGACATTTCAACATTACTCTCTGGGAGCTGTAAATCCTGAGTGGAAATGGAATTACTCAAAATTTCAGACGAAGGGTCACATTTTGATGTTTCTATTTCCATCAAGGGATCATCTAAGGTGAGATCAGATGCACCAATGTCCTTAACACTGGCGTTCTGACCGCCTGCTGAATTCAGCACGGCAACTAGGGACTGTTCAACTGCATCTACTTCCATAAGCGTTTCTGCATTTGAGCAGCCAAAGCATCCTGAGGGCGGAATATTTTTCTCTCTATCTGTAAGGTCCACATGCTGCTGTAGACTGTCTCCTTTCATTGTGGCTTCCAAATCAACACTTTTTTGTTGATTCTGTTGCCTTTCTCCAAAAAGTTCAAGGTCCCCTGTGTTATAAAGATGTTCTTGGTCACGTGGAGCATTCTGTTGTACAATCTCATGCCTTTCATCCTCTGGTTCTTCATGCTGCTGAAGGCCACTCACTTGACTCAGATTCTGATATTCTGGATGCCTTCCGTTTTCACCTGGAAACCTCCGTGGTTCTTTCATCCTAGTTGTTGCGACAGATAAACTAGCTTCCTGTCTTGTGTGGAGATGAGATTTGAGGCTCTGGGTGCTTCTTTCAGCAGATTCCTCCAGATTATCTGCAAGAATGGCTTCTTCGGATGAACTCTGCAAAGGCATAGCTGGACTCTGGTCTGTTGGAGCGCTGTCTGCTGAAGAAGCACAATCAGAAGGATCCCAGAGAGGAAGCTGTTCTTTCTTTTCAGAGGTTAGCTGGAATTCAGCTGAAGCCTTTGAAGCCTTCACAGCTTTCGGTTCAATGCTGTCTGGGTCACTGGGCTTGATGGGGCAGACTGAAGCAGAGACAGAGTGAGCAAGACTCGTAGAATTACCAATCTCAGGACTCTGTCCTGAAGGATGGGCTGGATGGTTAAATCCATCTGAAGTTGGTAACGATGACATTCCCAGTGAGGTAGTTTCTTTACCACTTTTCTCTATATGGAACAAAAGGGAAAGGAAAAAGCAGGTTACAAAGGCCACTAAATTATCAGAGGATACAAATCTAAACAGGATAGAACAAAATCAGGTCCTTAAACTCGGGTTTGTCTTATATTCATAGACTTATACAAGAACCATTCTTACTGTGGTAGACAATTTAACATCACAGCATTAGAATAAGAGGTAAGCAGTTTCTTAATAAAACATGCATATTGTAATTCGCTATTTTGAATTTAAGTACCATTAATAAGCATCCACACAATGGCTGGGTTAGTGCTCAAGTCTGAAGGACATTTATGTATTTTTATTCTCAGTGAGTTTAGAACTCTAGAATATTTTCTCCATGTGTGTTCTTTCCACCACTTGCCCTAAAATTACCTGGGATGTTTACTAAGCATGTAGATTCTGGGGCACTACCTTTGGGAGTAAACCCAGGAATCTGCATTTTCAACAAGCTCCTCACGTGATTCTCAAGCACTTTACAGATTTTGAGGATCTCCACACTAGAATGATTCTCATGCCCACGTACTTTTAGCGTTTCAAATGTGAACACTGAGGTTATAAATGAGAAGTTTAAAACTACGTGTGTTTACGAGAGAGCAGGAATTATAGAGAGAAAGAAGAACATAATGCTTGGAGACCTCCTGAAGACAGGGAAGCAAATATTCTATTTAATTTATTTCTATCCAAACTTACCAAAAATCATGATACAGCTATGTGAGCATTGACTCAGAGAACAACAATAAAACTAAAGATCAAACGGATTAAATCCCAATCATCATCTTACCAAATAATGCAACTTCATAAAGGATTATCAGTTACTTTACCACATTAAATAGGACAAGTAAGGAAGAACATTTAAATACTTTAAGGGCAGGGAAATGTGCGAAGTGGGGCCGGGTGTCTGGTCAGGGGAGGGAGACAGTTCCTAAGAGGCAGTTTTCAATAGGCAATGATCATTTAGAGGCACTGCGACTTAGTGGCCACTCACACAAGATGGCAGACCTAAACACTACCTCAGTGAAAGCATCATCAGGCCACGGAACAACTCTCCTTTTGCCACTGATCCAGTTAAAAACTGACCTCTATGCCATCGCTATAAGATCTTTAACTAAAAGTCAAAGGCTGGTAACAAAAAGGACTTCGCAATACAATCTATTAGGGCAGACACAACTCAAACGGTTCATGCTGAATGTTAACATCCAACATGGGGGGTTGATCTTGACTTGAGAAGTCATCAAGCAATGCAGTTACAACTCAACTGGCTCTAATCATTGTAATCCAACACTGATCAACGGCATAATAGGAAGATAAAGTTCTATGTCAGGAAGTTACTGACTTCTTGTGAAACAATCTTACTTATAGTTTAGGGGTAAACAGGAAAAGAGCATTTATCTCAGTGCAAACTATATCCACTGCAATCTAGAAACACAGTTATTGGTCTTATTTATCAATCCCTAAGGCAGACTCTGAAAGAGGTTCAATTTTGACTTAATGAGAACAGAAAAGATGCGTTGTAGTGAAATATCCATGTTAGCAGCATGGGGACGGGGAGTAGGGTGGGGTGATAACGGCCTTCTGCATTGGTATGCCAGTTGTAATGATTGGGTAAGGTCAAAGTGAACAGAGCCTCAATGTATTTCGTACTCAATATGAAAGGAGTATATAGTCCTCCTGGAGCTGAGATGGTCAGTTTCACTGGCCTAAGTCCGAAATGTAGGGGACAACTGGGTCAGTATAGGACAGAAGAAGAGGATGAGGACAATGGATATTAAGAGTAACTAAACTATGCCTGCTTTTAAACCCTCCTTTCAAGGAAAAAGAAAGAAGAAATTAAATGCTATATATCTAATTACAACCAGCCTGCAGACCCCTATAAAGTCCTAGGTTGACAGTTTAAAATCACCTTTCCTCGTCTTGATAATCAGCCAATATACTCAGGCCGACATCTACCATATTCATACTACAGGGAAATGGAAGCAGAGTGCCTCCTGTGGAAAATCTGTCAGGCTAGGGACAGAGGGAAAAGCAAAGTCTCAGCTTTTGTTGTTGGAAGGATAAAACCTCAGTCCTGCCTGTGTTACTGACTCTGTGATCCTGGACAAGTCAGCTGGCCTAAGTTTCCATATCTTCTTCAACAGAATAAAAATTTCTGTTCCTCTGTAACTCCAGGTAGTTATGACAGTAATGTGAAAAAAGAACTCTCAGTTTTTCAGAAGAAAGGACTTATGAAGTCTTTAACAGAGTAGTTATCTCAAACAACAAAGAGCCGTGGTGCTGATACTCTTGATCTGACAGTCACAGTGGCCAGATGGACAGTTTTCACTGGAATCTCTCCCCCTTGGACTGTTCTAATAACTGACAGTTTTAAATAGGAAATTATGCTTAGATATGTATGTATGCCAACATACAAATGCATATACAGGCTAGTTGTAACCAGATTAAATGACGTGAGATGGTGAATGACAGAAGCTAAATTCCAAAACAGCTGCAGATACAGAGACTTTCAGACCACAGACGACGACTGGATGAAAGGCTTAGCGTGGTGTCTATAAATACCTGGTCTGGGGCCCACTCCAGCTGCAGTACACACACACTACATGCATCATGGCTTCTGACGCTCTGTTTGAATTAGGAAACAGACAAGCAAACTTGGGTTAACAATGCAAACCACACAGCATGCAGGGTTATAGTCTCCATTCCTTTGCCATCTTTACAATCAGGAACTGGCAGATCGAAGGTGGGGAAGGTTTCTGCAGTTTGGACATCCAAAAGATTTGCTGGTCACTTTAATTCTCTCACATACACAAAGCAGTGTGTCAACATCAACAGATTTTCAAAAGAACTTGGAAAGAAATTAACTTTACACACCTACACATAGAGAATTCATGGGCAAATGTGAGACAGGTGAAAAAGTAGACCCATAGATGGAATTACGTGATATGGAAATCTTTTTATGGAGTAAAGGTGAGTGAATACATGTAACAGTCATTTTCCAAATTTCTTTCTCAGTTGAGACTTATTTTTAGAAGAAAAACAAACCAAACCCAATTATCTATCCTGGCTTGACTTTTTTAATCTTTTAATCAGCTTTTAGAAAACATATCAGATACGGCACCTACTTTGAATTATTTTTCAAATGATAGAAAAGATAAAGATATTTTGGTACAAGGCATCCACCAAGGAAACAGTTCTTTAGCAAAGAAATCCTTTCACCTACTATGTCCAGAGTTTTGATTTTGATCATACTGGGAAGTCGCTGTTCCAAACAAACAGGACCTGATGTTGTAGAATTATTTCACTATTTAAACTTTATCATCATTAGCATGAGCCATATGCTGTCAGTAACAAAAGGTCACACAGGTAAAAAGCCATTTCCTGTTAATCCCTTGAAATTGGTACATCCCCTTCACTATGCCTGAAGATATCTGTGGTTTCTGTTTTAATCTCCTAAATTTTTTATTAAAAGAAGGTAATTACCCAAAGAGGGTAACCTGTTAGTAGGTTAGAAAGCATTACTATCATCAGCTAATGTTTCTCAAATAATAGCACCAAAACTGTGGGTGGGGGGGGGAACGACACAGATTTCACAAAATGGTAATGTATTCTCATTTTATTAATACACAGTATTATGACTAAGTTGACAAGTTACTAAAAAAATGTAAAACCTTCTAAGTAGGTATGTCAAACTCATTCAAGCTTGCCTTGCAGGGAAGATTAAAACTATTAATTTCATCTCTCCTTGGTTACTCAAAATTCTCCCCTTCCTACAAAATACTTAAGTACCCACCCAAACTGTACTTTATATGTAAAACTAAGCTAAAAGGTGGTGGTGGAGCAGATTCTGAATAAGGCCAGCTTGGAAAACTCCATCTGCTACCCATGCCCACTCTCAAGAGGCTAAAGGCCAGACCTTTGGATGTTCTCCAGTAACAAACACTGGCAAAATCTGGCTGCTTGTTTTTAAAGCTCGTATCTTTTCTGTCTTTTGGAGAAAGCTATTCTCTGAACTTGTAGCTCTAATACGTTTTATCACACCAGAAAATGCAATGTGTGATATTAGTCACTGATGAATAATTACAGCTCAAGACTTTAAAATAACCCAAACTTAAAAGTTAATTCTCTACAGCTTCTAGAAAATTCATCCCACAGTCAATGCTCTGTAACAGATAAGGAAAAATTACCTATGGAAGTGGGATTTCAGTAAAACTGTCCCTCCATTTTACCCAGAAAACGGCTTGGTCTTTAGATTTGAACAAGCTATAAGCACTGAGACTTAGAAAAAAAAGTATTAGGTAGCTTCACTTCAGTGGTTTACATACTGTTCTAATTTGGCCCAATGACAAACTACTGTGGTCTCATTAAGAGCATAAATACTATGTTTTGATTAATATCCAATTATGCTTCTTATTGTTGGTTCTTCTGCCTTTGGTGGCAGCACTTTCAGTAGATATTAAAAAGGTTAGGGTTGCTTAGTCATGGTGATAATGCTATCCTTCAAAGTAAACGGGCCGAAGGAAAGCAAAAGAAAATCTCAGGGACACACTGTTGAACTCAAAAGGAAGTGTCTGCTTACTGTTATAATTTTCTTCAGGCAAAAAAAAAAAAAGACAAGATTTTTTAGGAAGCCTACCAAAATGTCCCTAAGCAAATAATTCCACAATCTATCTTGCACACAGCAATGGAATGCTGTTTCTTGATCTGTTGAAACATGGAGTTTTCCTTCATTCTATTTAGAGATGGGAGGAGGTGGAGAGAGGACAAGGAACACATCTACGACAGGACGATGAGACTGATTACAAACTGGAAAGGTCCCTATCCCTCTGAAGCTCTCACTTCCCTGGGTCACCCACCAATAATAAGAGTATCATTCAAGAGCTCGTTCACCCCAAATACCTGCATCCTCCACGGACTTTTGAAGGGCTTCTGCTAATTCTTGGTCTGCAAACTCTTCCGGCCGCACATCCTCTCGCCCAGCCCCATATGCCAACCGGGCACACTCTGGTAACTCTCCCTCAGGAAGAAAGGTGGTCTGCGAGCCTGTGGTGCCGATCACGAGTACATTTTTCTTGAGGTCAATGGAACACTTAGAAGGAAGAAACCAAAGACCGATGATAGCAGATAGAATGCCATGCAGAAAAATTAGTATCTTGAGTTTAAAACTCCATTCACAAAGAGCAACATTGACAGAGACAGCTCAAAAAAACGACTTTACCTAAAAGTATTTAAACTTTAACCTAGGTAACACTGTCTGTTAATTTACAATTTTTTAAATATTCAGTTTATAGCAGAATAATCTTTACTGGACACAGTTTACACCTATTTGTCTAACACAACATCTGTTTATTTCTGAATTTAAATGTAATATACATTCCTTGTACAAAGTTTGGAAAAATATGACGCAGAACCAGCAGCCCACCTTTTAGAAACATATAAATGACTTCTTCTTAAAGACTGAGACATACTATTTATACAGTTTTACATTTACCTTTTTGCTTATTGTATAAAGTACAGCTTACATTTAAGCTCTATATCAATGGTCTCAAAAGCAGTTTGTGGGCAAGGCAATCTCTGCAAAAGTATTCTTTATTTCATATGTATGTTAGCCTCCTTTACTGTGTATTTTTATAATTAATATAGAACAGTTACACACATATATACTTTATCTATGACGTTGGAAACTGCTGGTCTATACCATGAGTAAAAAATAGGAAAGGCAGTGACAAGTCAATAAATTAGGTTTTATCCAAACATGCATTCACTCATTCCTTCTACTTAAAATGCTGTACTTTGATTAGAGTATCAATACATTATATTTTATAGGAATTTAATTTTTAAAAATTTAAAGAGTATTAGTGCCATAAAAATTTTGACTAGATATGAAACCTTGCTGTGAAAAATTTTATTATCTAGTGGACACTACTTGCTTCTTCAATAAGAGGAATTAATTTTTAAACTAATTATTAGGCTTCAGAGTAGAAATATAAATATCACTGCAAATAAATATATTTACAAATCATTCTCCTTGTACTAAATAAACAATTCCACTCCCAACATCTTATGTACACCTTCTTCCTTAATCCTGAAGTTCTTCTCCCCAAGTACTGTTTGACCAGCTACTAAGGATTTACTAAACTCACACTTGCAGTAAAATCATCATTATGTGTTATCTACACCTCCCTACAAAACCATCAAAAATTACTTAAGTTCTAACGAGAAATTAAAAATCACACAAGGGAACCAAATTGCCTATTATAATCTCAAAACAGACAGCAGGATGTAACAGATTGAGAGATTTCACAAAAACAGACTCTATTTCTACTGACACATCATTTCAAACCTTGCCTGACAATATCATCAATTAACAAACTTCCAGGTTTGAAAAACCATGCTTCTTAGTTTTCCAGTATACACAACAAAGAGAAATGATGCTGCAACAACCATATAACATACAAAAAGGTGATGCAAAAAGAAAGTGAAGCTCTTAATTACCTGATGCCGTTTTAGCATGTCCAGTCCCAGAAGCATGTCCATGGGCTGTTCCTCAAGTATAGAGAAGGAACACGCCAGGAAATCTCCTTCAATTTGAACCTGAGCTAAAGCACATGAAGAAGAGAAGAGGTTACTGATTTTTGCTTCAAAAGCCCAGGTAAACCTTGGAAATATATCTATCATTATGTGTCTTGCTTTCTGCAATCAGTCAAAGCCACAGCAAAGCATGCAAACAGGCGAGTTAAGTATGAAAATCCAGTAAGACCAACGATCAGTGTAAAAGCCAATGAAGGCACCAGCTCATCAAGTGGATCTGGTAGAGCTGCCACCCAGAACGCCCGGCTTGATATGTGACGCCATGGGGACACGTGCTCAGCTGGTGAGGAAAGCTGGCATTAAAGGGTTACAAAAAAAGAGAAAAAGACCAATTCCTCCAAAGTTAACCACCCGCTTCCTATACAGCTACAAAAGATTTTCTAAAAGGAAGATAAAATCTGTACACTTTTTAATTAGCCTCCAAGAAGTAAACCGTTTATCATTGCCTGTTATAATCAAGTTTCTATTTGCCAAACCAGACACAACACCAAGGCCCGTGTTTGCTGGGGGGGTCTCCTTCCTGGCCCCTTCCCTCAATTACTCCTCTTACTTTACACAGAAGATTTTTCAAAAAAATTATTTTGCTATTATTAAATCTTACAAACAAAAGAGTGTATGAAATTTACACACAGTATAAAGCATAATAAAACAAACACCCACACATCTGTTTCCCAGGTAAGAAACAGAAAACTAAGAAGTCTCCTACATGTCCTGCTGATCACAGCTTTATCTTTGCCTCCACCAACCTTTCCAACTAACCTGGTTTTTGTTAATCACTCTGAGCCTTCCTTGTAGTTCTTACCAGTTTTATATGATTTCTAAGCAACATATTAATTAGTCTCGTGCTTTTGAACTACAACTTTCTTCTCTTACTCAAAGAATATTTTGAGACATGTCCCTTAGATGCATGTGACTCTATTTCTTTCACTTTACACCACCCCTGAGAGGACTGTGATGTCTCACACACCACCATCAATTTCTGCATTCTACCGCTACAGGACCTTTTGGGTCACTTCCAATTTCCTCCGTCATAAGCAACACTACCACGAATATTCCCCAACATGCCTCCTGGTGTGCCATGGGCTTCTCTATGGTAGAGTCTAGGAAGCTGAATCACAGGTTCTAGGGGATGTGAGGCTCAACTTTGCTGCAGGATCAATTATTTTGGAAAACGTTTCCAGGAGTGTATACAAGTTCCCAATGCTCTACATTCTCACCAACACTCAATATTATTAGATTTCAAATCTTGCTAATCTGACAAGTAATTTTGCATTTCCCTGATTAATAATGAGGCAAAGCAACTTTTCATAGATTTCTTAACCATTTGGGTTTCCTCTTAAAGTGCCTATTCACGCGTTTCTGTAATTTTTCATATTGTCTTTCTTACTAAGTTTGAGGATGAAAACACACACATTCAGAGCGTATATTCTGAATATGAATCCTTTATTAGTTATATGTGTTACTGAAATTCTTTCCTAGTTTGTTTGTTCACTTTATGATGCCTTTGGATAAAAAGCTCTTAATCTTAATGTGGCCAGATTAGGACCACATGCAATGTTTCCCTATGCAAAACATTCCCCTATACTTTCTTCTAAAACCTTGATTTTCGCCTGTCACATCTAGGTCTTTAATTAACCCTGAACTGACTTTTGTGTGTGACCTGAGGTGGGGTCCAATTTCCGATTCGTTTTTCCCTCGTGGATACCCAGCTGTCCCAGCACCATTTCCTGAAGCGTTCCCCACTGCTCTGTAAGACTTCCTCTCTCATTTATCAAGGTACACGTAAACACGGGTCTGTTTCTGTTCTAGTCCTGTGGTCTCGATACCTAGAAGGGGAAGCCATCCCAGAGTATCTTGCCCACTCCTGCAATAAAGGGCCCACATGAAATTTAAAATTAGCACATCGAGTCTCACAAAAAAAAATTGGGATTCTGACTCTGTTGATAAATACCGATAATATAAAGTTGCTATCTGTTGAAAATGTGGGGGAATTACTACCTTCAACAGAGAGTCTTCCTATCCGTGGTATAACTCTCCTTTATTTAGATTTCCTTTACCGTTACAAGGTTTTCTTCATGCCTATCATAGCAAAAGTTGAAAAACAGCATAACCTGTCCATCCACAAGGAAGGACACTAGGGACTGGTATTTATTCTATCTCTTCCTATTATCTTCTCACCTAAAACCATGAAAAATCTGAGAACTCAGCCTCTGAGGCAACCAGCTCGTGGTTTTCCTACCCAATCTCAGTCCTACTGTGTGTATGAAAGTATGAGAGTAAGGTATGATTATTCTATACAAATCAATAAAAGAAAACACAGAGACTCTAATAAATAGACAAATATATTTAAAAAGCAAGAGTGAAAGAAATATGAAAGAAAGAGGAAAATGGGTAGAAAAAACTATCACTTGCAATGAAAGAAAAGTAACTTAAAATAAGAAATCACTTTTTTATCTGCAAACCAAAGGGGTAAAAACCACATACTTTATTGTATAAAGACATTAAGATGACTATCCATTCAGAGCTGAAGAAACCAGATTGGTACCAGTTAGCAATATCAAGTATCTTAAACTATTCATAACCTTTGATTCAGTAGTTTCACTTATAGGCTTCTTGACTGAGGAAAAAAAAATCAAAATGTACACAAAGCTGCACACATATGCACTGCCATGTTACAATAACAAAATATTGAGGAAAAAGATTCCCAAAAGTTGACCATTAAACCCACACAACAGAATGTTATGCACTTATGTAAATGATGCTTATGAAATTTATAGTAACGGTGGGAAAATGTTATGTTACTTTTTCTTAAAGCACAGTTATAAAATTCTATATACTATATGACCACATTTTATGACAAAAAAAAAATGCATGGAAGAAAGGCCAGAAGGAGATGATGTCCAAATGTTACCAGTGGCTGATTCTCATTTAAAAGGATTTAAGGGGGGGGCTGGCCCCATGGCCGAGAGGTTAAGTTCGCGCGCTCCACTGCAGGTGGCCCAGTGTTTCATTGGTTCGAATCCTGGGCACAGACATGGCACTGCTCATCAAACCACGCTGAGGCAGCATCCCACATACCACAACTAGAAGGACACACAACTAAGAATATACAACTATGTACCGGGGGGCTTTGGGGAGAAAAAGGAAAAAAATAAAATCTTTAAAAAATAAATAAATAAAAAATAAAAATAAAAGGATTTAAGGGGGCCAGCCGTGAGGTGCAGTGGCTAAGTTTGCACGTTCCGCTCTAGTAGCCCAGGGTTCGCTGGTTTGGATCTCGAGTATGGACCTATACACCGATTGTCAAGCCATGCTGCGGCAGGCATCCCACATATAAAGTAGAGGAAGATGGGCACGGATGTTAGCTCAGGGCCAGTCTCCTTCAGCAAAAAGAGGAGGATTGGTGTTAGATGTTAGCTCGGGGCTAATCTTCCTCAAAAAAATAACTAAAGATTAAAAAAATTAAATAAAAGGATTTAAGGTATTTTCACTTCTCACATTTCTATACTTCTGAATTTCTCTACAATGAGCATCTATTCAAAGGATAATGAAAGAAAAAAAGAAAATATTTCTATTAGAGATGAAAGACTAAACACAGGTATTTATCCCCACTTACTCCTTAAAAATTGCTATAAAAGCTTTTTTTTAAAAGATTTTATTTTTCCTTCTTCTCCCCAAAGCCCCCCAGTACATGGTTGTGTATTTTTGGTTGTGGGTCCTTCTAGTTGTGGTATGTGGGATGCTGCCTCAGCGTGGCTTGATGAGCGGTGCCATGTCCGAGCCCAGGATCCAAACCAGCAAAACCCTGGGCTGCCAATTCGTAGCACACAAATTTAACCACTCGGCCATGGGGCTGGCCCCAAAAGTTTGCTTTTTTAAGATACAAATTACTAAGGCCAAAAATAATGGAAGAAACAACTGAAACACAATTTAGGAACTAGAAAGCAGATGACTACAGAAAACTAAGAAACAGCCCAATTAACATCACAGAACTCGGAAGAGGCTCATACACTGGTGGAAACAAGCACCTCTGTAAACAGGGTAGAGGTGGGTCCAAAGCAGGAAGACTGACTGAAGGTCTTTGCCGGCATATTAGACCTTTGGGATCCCCCTCTGCGCTCTGCTTAGCCAGGCGACTACCTCCCTTCACCCCAGCAACAGACCAGAGGTTTGTTCTCAAGAGGGTGAAAAACAGGCTCTCAGAATAGAGGTGGGCATGGAGGAAGACAGGGACACAAGACCTAATCGAAAACCAGGGGGATTAAGGGAAAGTTTACTGAGACTCTAGCCTTTTTCTTCCTCCCAACTTCCAGGTCACCCACAATCGCCATGACTGCCCACGCAAAGAATCTTCCAAACATCCTTTTGGTGTCCCACTTGTCAATATGAGCAGATGCCAAGGATCACCGGACATTTGAGAAAACCATTCTAACGTGAGAGAAAAACAAATACAAAACATAACAGAAAGGGTGGAAGACAAAGTTGAGGAAATCTCTCTCTCACACACACACACACACACCCAACCCAGAAGACAATGAAAGAAAGAAAAGGTAAGAAAACTAGAGGACAAGTCCAGGACAGAGGATTACCCTACCTGAGTAACAGAGGGGAGGAAATTATGAGCACAAACATTTTTCCAGATTGAAAAGTACCCAGCATGGAGGATGAAAAGAGAACCACACACCAAGTAAACCATTGTGAAATTTCAAAACACTGAGGTCAAAGAGAAGATTCTACAAGCCTCAGAAATGGAAAAGAAATCTTTCACATAAAGGACCAAGAATCAGAATAGCAGCCAGCTTTTCCACAGCAACACTGACAAAAATTGTGAAGGAAAATGATTTCCAACCTAGCCAGACTACTAAAACGTAGGAAAAAAAGACCTTCTGATTTTAAGGACTCAATTTACTCCCATGCACTTTTTCTCAGGAAGTTACTGGAAGATACACTCTAACAAACTGAGGAGCAGAATAAAAAAGACAACGACATGAGATTTATGTAATCTGACATAAGACTGAGGGTAAAGGAATCTTCAGGATACGGTCAAGGAAGATTCTAAAACAAGAGCTATGAAGCAGCCTGGATCCAGCAGCGCAGGCTCTGGAAGAAGCATCTTCAATAGGACGAAATGAATAAAGGAGATTTACACAACTAGTTAAGTGTTTAGGGATGAGTAACACACACAAAATCAAATGACTAAAAAAAGAGATAATTATTAATTCCAGGAAAAAAAAATAGTAGACGAAAGGAAAAGCAATTATTTTCAATTAGATGGCTCAGCTGTCAATCATATTAGTAAACAGTGCTATAACCATGTTATTTAGAAATATGGAGGTAAGTACCAAAAGAAATCAGCTGAAATAGTTGAAAGAGATTATCTCTGAGGAGCAGAAGATAGAAGTGCATAGGAGACTGATGTTTTTTGTAACCACCTAAAACATGTCCATGTATTAACTTTGATGGAATATAGGATTTACAATTTCTAGGGATTAGGCTCGCTGGATCAAATGTACCTAACCAAAAGAAATGTCTAAAAATCCACTACCCTACAAAAACTCCCAGTGCCTTTTGCTCACCTAGATGTACCCTTCCAATAATCTTCTGGGTGCCCACTCCTTTGGCGATCCCTGCCCACCGACGGTCCACCAGCCTCATTATATTACACCTTTCTGCACAAGCTTGGCTCATAATAGTCATCTGGGCACCTGGAGGCGGAGGGAAACATCAGATAATAAAAACAAAATCCACATTTGTTGTAAGATTAAAAATGCAGCACTAAGAACAGTGCAGAAACAAGTATACCCCAAGGCTTTTTTCTGTGTAAAATCATTACTACCTAGCAGGTTTCCAGCCACACTTAAATCAACTTTCGGTTCCATATTGGAATCTGAAACATAGTGTAGAAAGCTGATATTGAAGGAGAGAATGCTTTGTTTAAATGTAATAATTAAATAGTATTTTAAAACTTTACTAATAGAGAGCAAAACTACCTGAAAAGGACTTCTATAACGTCAAACTACGCCTACAGAGGGAAACACAAATTAAGCACTACTTTACACTAGGATCAGTTTTCACTGTGTATCTCTAAACATCACGTGATTTTTATTTTAAACTTTGGGACACTATAATTTATCAGTTAAAAAATACATCCTTCAGGGGCTGGCCCGGTGACATAGTGGTTAAGTTTGCACACTCCACTTCGGCGACCCAGGGTTTGCAGGTCTGGATCCCGGGCGTGGACCTAGCACTGCCCGTGAAGTCACGCTGTGGTGGCATCCCACATAAAACAGAGGAAGATTGGCACAGATGTTAGCTCAGCAACCATCTTCCTCAAGCAAAAAGAGGAAGCTCGGCAACAGACGTTAGCTCAGGGCCAATCTTCCTCACAACAACAAGAAAAATACATCCTTCAGTCTCTCAAAACACTGGAACTGAACTCCCCATTCTCTGCTCCAACATTTGACACTCTTCTCCTTAAGCAAGAGGGCATTTAGGGTCTGTTCTCTCCCAGTTACACGTACTCACCCACACAGTTGGAACCAGCCGTGCACAAGACACTTCTCTAATCTTTATCTACCGTCGTAATCTATCCCTCAGATGCATTCCATATTCCTGTGTTGGACATTTCTATCTCAAAGCCAACAGGTATAAAACTTTCTCTCCAAATAGTTGTCACTTGGATTTCTCTCCTTGCCAATGTAATTATTTTATTGCAATCATAAAACTAAGGTATTGTTCACTTTTGACTCCTCTTATTTTAGCCTTCTCCCCACTTTCAAACTCTGTTCCAATCTTAATAAGTTCTATGCAATTTCTGCTATTTCTGACCTTCCTTCTTCTAACCACAGCAATCAGCCTACCTCACACTCCATCCTCTTTGCTAGTGGGCAATTTCTCTGGTTTCCAAACCACTCTGTGAATGAATAATTTAAAGCAAGGAAATAGTTCTGACCCTTAGGGCTACAGAATTCTCCAGATCTGTTACTGCTTTCTGTCTTCCCCAAACAGCACCATCTTCAGATCACTTACGCATCTGCTCAAAAATCCTGAAGGGCTCCTACTCTATAAGATTAGCTTCAAACCATATCACCCCAGCTTCAGATCCCACTTTATCCTGGCCCAACTATTTTCAGCTGCTACAGAGTTAATGTTTGTATCCTTCCAAAATTCAGATGTTGAAACCTAATCACCAATATGTTGGTATCAGGAGGTGGGGCATTTGGGAGGCGATCAAGCCATGAGAGTGGAGCCTGCACGAATGACATTAGTGCCCTTATAAGATACGCCAGAGAGCTCGCTTGGCCTTTCCTCCATGTGAGGATATATGGAGAAGACAGCCATCTAAGAACCAGGAATCACGTCCTCAACAGACACCAAACCTGCTGGCACCTTGATCTTGGACATCCCAGCCTCCAGAACTATGAGAAATAAAGCTGTGTTGTTTACAAGCCACCTGGTCTATGGTATTGTTATAGCAGCCCAAACAGACTTAGACACCAGCCTTATATTCGGACTGCCTCTAAACCCTCCACTTCTCCAGGAGGAATTTGTTCCCTTTGCCCCTTACTCACTTTGATCCTCATGTGGAGTGCCCCCTCCCCTGCTTTCACTTTCTCTGCATTCCACTTATGCTTTAAGGCCCAGCTCAAGACTTACCTCTTCCTCAACTGACCGTCCTTTCCCAGTGAACTCTACTCTCATTCAATTCCAACACAGCCTGTTCACATTTCTCTTTAGGTACCTTACACTTTATGGGCACTCAAAGCTCTTGGCATTTGAGGATGGTTGAATTCAAGAAGGCCCCAAAATAGTGAAAGCAAAGGGAATTTGGGAAGGCAATTCTCTTTTCTCCCTTCCTCCCCACTCTACTCCACAAAAGCTGACCCAGGACGAGAAGAGTCCCTTTCACTGCTCTCCTGCCTTTTCTCAGGCCTCAGCTCGAGGAGTCCTCTGCCCATGGAGACAGCTCAGTTCAAATGCCCTCTCTTTCAGGAAGCCATGCCTGAGCACCTCAGTCAGACCAAGCACGTAGTCTCTACGTTCATCCAACATTCACTGTATTTTTGCAGTGGGTAAGAGTTCTGGCATCAGGCAGATGTGGGGCTGAATCCCAAGTCTACTACTCATGAACTGTGTGTACCTGGAAGAGTGACTTTACCTCTCCACATCAAAGTTTCCTCATCTGTAAAGCGGGGATAACAAGAGAATATAGCTCATAGGGATGTTCCAAGTGTTAAATAAAATTGAGGCAGGTGACAGATATTAAGCACCATGCTAGATGCTTGGCATAGTAAGGGCTTAATAAATGTGGAGTATGGTATTATTGACTCTTCTGTATTGAATTCTCTCCCTCACACAGGAGCCCTATGAAGCACCAGTTAGTAAGTCCTACCCCTAAGGACTCAGCACAACGCCCTGCATGTAGCACTCAATAGATATTTTTAAAACTGAACACTAGGCAAATTTACTTCTCCCAGGAATGTATGCATCTCAAGATACAAACTCTTAATGACAGCTGCAACCTAGTATGTGGCTCAAGTTTGCAGATGAACAAATGGAGGAAAATTTACTTGAGCAGAGGCCTTTACTCCTCTAGGAGCTCATCCTTACCTTAAAGCCTCCAGTGAGATACCAGAAGCAAGACACACAAGACCACTCAGGCACACCCACATGATGCTGCTGTGTGTGGTCTTACTAAAAACCAAAGAGTTGTTACAAAGAGGAAAGGTGCCAGTTAGCACAGGGATTATCTGAATCCTCAAGTGGGAAACTCCCTGTCTCCTCACCTGGCTGTTAAGTTCTTTACGGGCAAGACCCACGCCCCATTCATCCTTTCACTGCTCACCACTCCTGGCAAAGTGCTGGGACACAGACCAGGCGGAAATATTTGTTTGATTTGTACTCTACACACCTTTTCATGGCTCCTTATTCTAAATGCACTTACTCCCCAATTTCTTACAGAGCTATCCTAGAAATTCAGGATGCCAAATAGGGGAGATAGGAAGATAAAGGAGACACTGCAAAATGCAAAACTGGTAAAGAAATGATTAAAGAAAGAAACCTATTACAAACAAGAAAAGATTGGCAAGTCATACAATAACCCCCAGGCTTGTTAGCCAGCAGTCCAAAGGACTACCGCCATCTTTTTTTTTTTTTTGAGGAAGATTAGCCCTGAGCTAACTGCTGCCAATCCTCTTTTTGCTGAGGAAGGCTAGCCCTGAGCTAACATCCATGCCCATCGTCCTCTACTTTATATGTGGGACGCCTGCCACAGCATGGCTTGCCAAGCGGTGCCATGTCTGCAGCCGGGATCCAAACTGGCGAACCCCGGGCTGCCAAAGTGGAACGTGCGAACTTAACCGCTGCACCACCGGGCTGGCCCCATGACTACTGCCATCTTTAACCAACATCAGAGTCTCCCCTTCTCCCTGTGTCGGGTCAGAAAGTTGGATGGACAGACAGAGACACAAAGGATGGAGACATCACCTGAGTCAACAAAGGCTTTCACAGGATGTCCATTCACTTTGCAGTTAATATAAAGCATGACTACTTGGCCAAAACTTTCTGGAGCCTCTTCCATAGCTATTGTCATGTTTTCCTCAATGTTCTGTTGCCTGTAACAAACAAAAACCAGGTACACTGAAAGTGTTATTTCCATGAAGAGCAACATGTTTCAAAGTCACAATATTGATGAAAGCAGATTTGTATATCTTTTGTCCAAACTATAGCAGGTGAGTCCTGGAAATGGAAATTGGTGCTCTATCCTATGATAGGTGATTCAGTAGGAGGTAGTGACATATATGGTTGGCAGAAAATCTAAAGGCATACAAATTACCTTCATGTAAAACAATTATGCTCTCTTTATAAGTTCAGAAATAGGAACATAAATTTGTGGAGAATAAGGGTCACAACTATTTTTATCCCGTAGAATGTCAGAATTTCATGAATGCTCCAAATTTAACTGAGGATTTACTAGGTATCTGGGTACATTTCCTACATCCAGTATATTGAAAACAGTTTGCAAACATAATACGTAGATGCTTCAATTGTTTCGGTTGCACCTGCTGCTAAATCTCTAAGATTGGGCTTTCTAATCTGCAAAATGAGGATAATAATTCCTATTATAGGATTGCTGAGAGGTATAAAGAATCTAGTATACAACGCTAACAACATAAGAGCAGATAACCAAAAACATGCACCTACCTACCTACCTACCTAGCTACCTACCTACGACTTAGAAAACTACACAGACACGTATCACAGTTCACCTGGTCTATCAAATCATTTCTTCAAAAACTGAACATATTCTTTTTTTTATTGTGCTAACATTGGTTTATAACATTATATAACATATTCTAATTCTTCCATGAGAATAGCCAATAAAAGGGAGTTCCAGTTTACTCCAACATCTCATGTCTTCATTTCCAGTCTCCTTTTAAAAACATCACCAACATGAATGGAAACTAGGGCAGGGGCTGGGCAACTTACCTGAAGACTGAGACAACAATAGAACAGGATCCAAGACCTGGGATCCTGCTAGCGCAGAAGTGAGTTCTGGCGACAGATATTATGGCCTGCAAAAACTAAAATATTTACTATCTACTCCTTTATGGGAAAAGTTTGCTGACCCCTGCTCTAAACTGTAGTGCCTGTCTTTTCTGTAGTAATATTCTAGCTCAACTGAATTGATGGGTTTATCAGCCATTCTGTAATAAAATTTCTCAGAAAGGCACTCGTTTAATTTAGTCAGGCCAATATGCAAGCTATTATACCTCAGTGTACATATACCCCGTGTAATCACTACTGTATCATACCAGATGACTTTAACAGGCATTCGATATAATTACCCAGCTTTTCTCTTACGCCATGTTATTAAATTTAGAAGTAACCTAAAATTAGTTGTGCACTTCTGACCTTGCACTGACTCCAACCAAAATAAGTTTCAGCAAAAAATCTTCTGAGATAATACCAGTTACTTTGGCTATTCTGGGCTCTGTAGAGAGTCCCTTCAGATGCACAAGGTTTTCTCCTTTAAAAAAATGTATGCATCACCCCATTTCCTTTACCCCACCTCTGGGAAGAAACGTGAGTCACATGGACACGCTCCATTCCACTTCTACTCTTCTAATCGCTCAGTATCACGGTTTGGCTAGGATGCCTCCCCACTCTCCCTCCCACCCCTCCTGCTTCCTGGTGTGGAACACAACTATTCTTGAAAACTATGTCAGGTTCTTTACAGCTACAATGTAGTCTAGTTCAGAGAACACAGATATCTTCCTATTTCTCTGGGTAGATTTAACTAGTGAGATGTTCCTCAAAGATATTTGTTACTACTTGATACAATTAGCGGGAACACTTAAGAACACAAGGAATGCCTTAGGGCTGTCAACTGATTAGGGGTGTACAATTGACATTTCTCTGATTTCAAATGTAGTCAGAGAAAAAAGAAATAAGAACATTATTATTTGACTTCCAAGTTGACAGTATAATATAATGAGCAAGTTAGGCTTCATTCAAGCAACCAATGGTGATGACACAGTCCTTAAAAGTAGTATCGTTACAGTCATGTTCCTCTTCGTTATACTAAGGCCTTCACAGTCAGCAACAGAAACTGAATCTGAGGGGAATAAAGCAGCTGTTTTTTTATTCAAAGGTACTAACTGAACAGCCTCATGCTTGTGACTAGTAATGTGACCAAGGTTGGCATCAGCATCATTGTACCTGGTTAGGCCCGACCCCTTAAGATTCTGACTCATCAGATTTGGGAGTACAGCCCAAGCACGTACATTTTTTAAACGCTTTTCATGTGATTTTAATGCTGCCCCAGGTGAGAACCACAGCCTTAGAGAAACTGGAGTTGGAAATGTGAACGGCAGTCAGTCTACCCACTGAGGCCTGTGCAAGAACTGCAGAAGGAACAGACTTCAGACTACAAGTTTCTGCACCCATGGATCTACTCCCATCATGTGCCAGCCTGGATTTGATCAGTGCCCAGGCATCAGGTCTAAAGAAAGATTCCTATCCGCCTGCGCAGCCCATCCAGCAGTGTGACCAAGCTGGGGGCTTCCACTCAGTCCTGGGGTCATCTACCGTGAGTTGCTTTAAAGATGTGCTGCATGCTAGTCAGGGCGTTTTTATTAAAATTTTAGAAGAGAAAGTCATTAAGTTAGGTACCTGTACCTTTGTAACGCTGAATCAAATGTGAGGAAAATGGAAGAGGAGAGAATAACCTAAAAGACCGAAGTTACTATCTCAAATGAAGAATAAGGAAGCTACCTCAAAGCAGATGTCCAACCAACACGAGATCACCCAGAGGTGGGAAATCTGGATTCTCTAAATCTTTCTCTTCAGGTGAAGGGTCGTTCATTACCTTATATCTTCTTCTATCTTTGCCTGAGCTTCAAGATCAAAAGGGTCAGCAGAAAAGAGACGAATCCTTTCTTGCTCTCTCCGGGCTCGGTCCTGCTGCTGCTCCACCAGGACTCTAGAAAATTTCTCTACAAAAATAAGGGGTCAAATCTTAAGTACCACTATATTTTCATTCTTTATTAGTACTTTTCCACATCAAACAATTTCTCAAAATCAACTGTAAGAGATGCAGAAAGGAAGTCTAAAAATTCTTTTAAATGAGCAATTACATTTACTTTCTATTCTCTGAGGCAAGACTACTTCTTCACCTAAATTCAGTGTAAACAAATAAAGTATCTGCAAAAATCACTTACACCTGTAAGAAGTTATCCATCACGTTGTTTCTACTCAGAGGTAATGATTTTTCAGTTTAGATCAGTGGGGAATAACTCTATGTGGCAGACAAAACCCACTCCTCCCCTCCTTATTGCCCTTATTATCCTGTTACCTAGAAATAAAATAGAGCACCACAATCCCCTTCTTCCTCTTCTAGTTTCATTTCCTTTATAATACTCTCTGCCTAAAGGCAGATAAATTAAATGCAAACTACTGTTAGGCTATCTATATTACCTGATGGATAACAGGCAGGAAAATTAGTAAAGAGAAAACATTGCTTACTATATGACGCATGGTTCAAGAACCACCTTTATTTTGCTATTTCTTAAATGGAGGTGTATTTAAATGTATAAACTTAAATGTGCCATCATCATGGTCTTTGGCAATTAGATATGTTGCATAAGAAATTAAAGAAACCAAGATAATGGTCATATGAACTACTAATATACACAACATGGAGGGGTCTGAAAAACATTAACTTGAGTGAAAGCAGCCTGACACAAGAGAGGACATACTGTATGATTCCTTTTACATAAAGATCAAAAACAGGAAAACTAATCTATAATGATTATCAGGACAGTAGTAGCCTATAACGGCAGGACACTGACTAGAAAGAGAACATAATGGAACTTTCTAGAGTGAGAGAAATGTCCTATATCTTGACTGAGGTGGTAGTTACATGAGTTTGCCAAAACTCAAAGAACTATATATTTAAAATCTGCGTATTTCTCTGTAGGTAAATATTACCTCAATTTAAAAAATGGTTATTGAAGAATGAGTTATTAAGTATCTGTTAGGTTTTAAAATCTAATCAGTAGAGTTTCATAAACCCAAGAGTAAAATTGGAGAAATTTACAGAAAAAAATTTACTCATAAAGATGAGTAAAAATAAGTGTTCTGTTAAATAAAAGAATGGCTCAAATACAGCCCCAGATAAACTGTTGGTAACAACCCCACTATCAGCAACCTTGGGATGGATGAGAATAAGGGGGTTCCATTTTGTCACACAAGCTGATGGCACTGAACCTGTTTCTTGGAACCAAAAGCATTTCAGCTGGTGTCAGCTGGTCTAACGAAAGAGGTTAAAATATCAGTACCTGGGTTACATGCTGCTGAAATGGTGAGAGGAAAAATGTAAACAGAGGGGGCTGGGCTAGCTGGATTTTGGAACTCTATGCAGTCCTAAAATTGCCGCTATTGCTAATTAACTCAGCCTCTGACATCAGCACTAATTTACCTCCCTAAACCAACTGCTATGTTCAATAAATCACGTGGCACGGTGGGTTGGACACACCAGTTGCTTGAGTTTCTCCACACTTGCTGTGACACAACTACTTCACCTCAGGTCAGCCTGATGGCTTTCCAAGTTCACAAGCTTACCAAGGTCTCCACTGAGCAGGGCGTCTGCCAGGGGTGGATTGCGTTCCTTCAGCAAGGACAGCTCGTGGGGGTTGGCCAGCAACATGTCTCGGAGCAAGGCTGGATTGTCCAAGCCCTGAGGAGACGAAGCTATTTCTCCAGGAGATGAGTGGGACTGCTGTACTCCTGCTGGCTGGCGCTGCCGGGAGCTGGATGTGCCAGGCACAGCTATGCTACGGAAGTCTATTCGGGGTAAGTCTGTTGGGGAAAATCAAATCAAAGTTTACTTCAGACGACTCCATAAAAACAAGTTTTTGAAGGAAACAGCAGAATATCTGCTCATAAGTGGTATATAATAGCAGTAAATGGTAATCGCAGACATTCTAAAAACCTCTCCTATCCTCTTTCTCGTACTTTTCTTTTTAATGGCGGTCACACTGACTTTGAATACAAAGACTGCAGTCTGAGAGCGAACAGATAGGAAAGAATAGAAGAGTGTGTGTGTCGGGGTGCGGGGGCAGACAATGGCAGTAACCCCAAGTTTTTGGCTTATAAAAATATCCCAGAATAGATAAGTTTTTACTTATTAGGCTTTTTAAAAATTAAAGCTAGTCTCAGTAGATGTAACTGCATAAACGTGGATGTGGTCCTTAAGAAAAATCCTAGTCTGCTTTGACATATGCTTCAAAGAGCCCTGACACCTTGCGTGAAGAATACTATACATATCAAGTGAACAGCGTAAATGTTAGATGTTAAATTCTGAAAGTATGTGCTACACATATTAGTTCTTTGAATTTACACTTTCATCTGTGTATCACTGCTGACTCTTCTCACACCCCTGGGGGAGCTAGGAGGTGTAATCATTTTATAGGAGAGAAAAACAGAAGAAAAGGAACTTGCACAGGTTCTCAATGCTGAGTACACCAAAAGAGACAACAGGTTTAGAGGCTACGACTCTCAGGTTTATACTCCGGGCTGAGCTGACCCTATTAAAATGAAAGGAAAATAAAAGGGAGCCTTACACAAAGGACCAACATACTGCATGAATCCTGCATGAATCCATTTATATGAAATGCCTAGAACAGGAAAACACATAGAGACTGAAATTAGACTGATGGTTGCCTAGGGCCAGGAGGCTTGGGGGCAGATGGGGAATGACTATTAATGGGTACACAGTTTCTTTTTAAGGTGATGATAATGTGCCAAAATTGATTATAGTGATGGTTGTGCAACTCTGAATATACTAAAAATCATTGAATCGTATCCTTTTTTTTTTATTTTGAGAAAGATTAGCCCTGAGCTAACTGCTGCCAATCCTCCTCTTTTTGCTGAGGAAGACTGGCCCTGAGCTAACATCTGTGCCCATCTTCCTCTACTTTATATGTAGGACGCCTACCACAGCATGGCGTGCTAAGCGGTGCCATGTCCGCACGCAGGATCCAAACCGGCGAACCCGGGCCACGGAAGCGGAACGTGCGCACTTAGCCGCTGCACCACGGGGCCAGCCCCACTGTATCCTTTAAATGAGTAAATTGCATGGTATGGGAATGATATCTCAATACAGCTGTTATTTAAAAAAAGGAAAGAGAGAAAAAAAAATAAGAAGAAAACAAGCAGAGCCAGAACGAGGGGCTAGGACTGAATGAGTCTACATTTGTTCACCTCCAAAATGTATTTGAAGGTCATACTTGTCCCAAGTCTGAGGCTACCCTGTAGCCTTTGAGACCTCAAACAGAAAAAGGGAATGCTTAAATTCAGGCAACGGTTTCTGCCTTTTAGCATGGGTTCAACTAGGCGGTCACCTTCTTCAAACAGACCTCAGCTGGCAGCTGGCAAATGTATGTGTATATGTGTGTGTGTGTGCACACACTTGTGTATGAACTCCTAAGCAATGAAAAGGTGAAATGAACGGCATGATCTTTGTGAGGTAGTTAATCTATACCAACTGGCAAAACATACACGGGTGGGCCTTCTCTGTGGGCAGGGAAACTTTATCTCCAGCCCTGTTACACTTATCTTGAGAGTCCATTCACTTCAGAATAATTCTGAAAAACTTGTTTACTTTAGAGACCAGATCCCCTCCCCTCCCTGACCTACTGGCTCTCTCATCCATATGGGACAGCACAGGACGAAAAACAGTGAATCTCCAGAATTGATGATCTCACCAAATTAACCAAAGGAAGATTTGTTTTTCACCGACAGGCATATTGGAACCACCACTCTATCTAAAGTTTAACAGTAGCCCCAGGGACTAATGTAATCCAGATCTGGGAGGAACAGGGTTTGATGATCTCTTCTAGCCCCAGTTTCAGACTGAATGGAAGCACTGTGTTCTAAGCTGGAGTCTGTCATTACCCAGACACCTATCAGCTGTTACCATAAACTTTAAAACCAAGTGAGCTAGAGACCAAACACTATTCAAAGAAATCTATCAGAATATGACAGGGAATGGGAAAAAAACTCACACATTTCATCAAGTGGTTCCACATTAGAACCGTACAAACGTTTGTACTCACGCACTCATCCAAGGGTCTGAAGAAAGCTATGGACCCCTCCCCATCAAATGCACACACCCACACGATTATGCATATTATTTCAGGGACCCAGAAACCTCCCAAATCCCAACACACAGATTCCAGATTATAAACACCTATTCTGGATGGAACAGCTAAGATAGATAACAGTTTCTTTTTACATGATTAACAAAGCTGGTGGAAAAGAACCAGATTTGGTGGTCCAGCTGCTTTATGTTCACAAAACTCAGGGTAATAGAAAAAGCACCAAGTTTTAATTCCTGTGCCTTCACTTACTAGCTAAGTAACTTTGAAGACATTATTTAAAATCAGAGCTTCATCTGTTAATGACAATAAATTGTGAGGAGGAATCTCTTCTCCTACAACAGAGTTATGAGATCACATGAAATGAGGGAGCAAGTCCCTGGCTGACAAAATGCCCCAGAAGGGCCTGCCACTGAATGCCAGACACAACACAGCAAAAGTCAGTCAGGAACCACAGGCATATGCAGCCTCTCAAGTCCCAAGGATAAAATTATCATTGATTACAAAACAGAAGCTAACGTTTATTGAGGGCTTGCTACATGCTGAAGGTTTTACACGCATTATTGTCACATCAACTCTAGGAGTTGGGGTTAATTATAGCACCTAACTTATGGATAAGGAAACTGACTTAGAGAAGTTAACTCGTCCAAGGTTACGTACCAGCAAGCAAGGGGTAGTCAGGATTTGTACCCTGGTAGTCTGAATCCAGAGCTAATCCAAAACTCTGAACCACTGTGCGATTTTATCTACTGATGCTTATGTCAGGGGATGCCAAACCATTACGAGATGTCTTACTTGGGAACTGCACTGGAGGTCGAGGGTCTGCATTCTCCTTCTGTCGTAAAATCACAACATCCCCATCTTTCAAGCCGTAAGAAGCCAGTGATCTGTGGTTGTCTGTGAGAGGTCTTTCAGCGTAGACAATCTACAACCAGAAAAGATTTAACAGTATGAATCACTGTTACACAGCGCAAAGAAGAAAGACCATAGTTTTCCTCTTCATCAGATAATGTCACTCCCTGCTCAAAACCCTCCAATGGTTTCCCATCATATCTAGAATAAAAGCCCAAGTCCTTCTCATCACCTACGAGGCCCAAACAACTTGGTCCCTGGCTCCTCCTGACCTCACCTCATAACACGATTTGCTGTTGTTAGTGCCCTTGAGTTGATCCTGACTCCTAGTGACCCTGTGTGCAGCAGAGCTGAACCCTGCCTGGTCTTTAACGCCATCCTCTCCCCTTCTAGTGCCATATCAGACAGTGTTGCGCTGCTATGCAGTGTTTTCATCGCCAACTTTTCCGGAAGTGGGTGGCCAGGTCCTTCTTCCTAGTCTGTCCTAGTGGGAAGCTCTGCGGAAACCTGTCCACCATGGGTGACCCTGCTGCTATTTGAAATACTGGTCGCACAGCTTTCAGCACCACAGCAACATGCAGCCACCAGAGTATGACAACTGACAGATGACAGACGGGTGGTGGGGTTCCCTGACTGGGAAATGAACCCTGGGTCGTGGGGGTGAGAGTGCCGAATCTTAACCACTAGACCACCAGAGCTGGTTATAAAATGACTGCTGTTCCTCAAGTAACATGATAACTTCCCCCTCAAGCCTGTTTCACTTGCTCTTCTCTCTACCTGAGGAATGTTCTTTCCCCACTCATTGTTGTTTTAGGTCTCTGATCAAACACTACCTCTTCAGGGCCCTTGCCTAATCACTCTATTTAAAATGTACCCTCACCTCACATATTTTATATTTATTTATTGAGTGTCTATCTACCCCACTAAAATGTAAGCTACTTGAGGACAAGGACTTTGTTTTGTTCACCATATCCAAAATGCCTAGAACAGGGCATGTTAGATAAATAATGCCCAAATATTTGTTGAATTAAAGGACGAATGAATCTAATGTATATTACTTTAAAATCAGATTTAATTTTGAGCAGGGAAGAAAATGGGAATAATTTACTCTGGGCACGCGAACTACAATACTGTTAAATAATGTGTCCCCCAGTTTTAGTGACATATAATTGACATAATCTTGTACTTATTTTAGGTGTACAACACGATTAGATGTATATATATATCACAGTAAGTAGCTAACATGCATCACCTCACATAGTTACAAAATTCTTTTTCTTGTGATGAGAACTTTTAAGATTTACTCTCTAAGCAACTTTCAAATGTATGATACGGTATTGTTAACTTTAGTTACCAGGCTGTACATTGACATCTCAATGTGTCCATTTTTAAATGATCTTGCATGCGGGCAAGTCTAAAAGGTCCCCAAATACCACTCTTCCTGTATACTTCTCCTGTTCTACCATCCCCAAAGTTTTATCACTCCTATGTTTATGGGTGGAAACAAAAGTGGAATAAATTCAGAAAAGAATAAACACAGATGGAAAAAAAGATCAGCAATGTACCACCAACAAAAATATTATTATGATGTGCAACCAAACATTGAAGAAAGCCTGAGAACATAAAAATAGATGAAATAATGTGCTGTGGAAAGAAAAGGAACACATAAAGGGCATACTGTAACTTCATCGTGAATGAGCATAAAACCCACCCTGCATTATTATATACTCCAGAGGGACGTTCAGAATAAACTCAGAGTTTGGAAGGTTTTCTTCCTAACAATTCACTTTGTACCAGGCCACATGCAAACGGAGGAACTTGAGTTCTGCCCTGGCTCTGACAGGGGCCCTGTCACTCAGCTGGTCTAGGCTTCACATTTCCCATTTGTTAAGCAACCACTTGGGGCTAGATAGTCATTACAGCTGTCCCTTCCAGGTCTTTCTGCTACACCACCACTTTACGATGTTTCCTCACAGCTCTCAGAGTAAGACTGCCTGACACAGAACCTGAAAAATACAGGATTTAAACTGGAAAAAAAAGGTCTGTCGTATCTGCTCTCAGAACTTGCACTGACATGAGGAATAGAAATAACAGGAAACTGAATTTAGTTCTCTGCAAAATCAAATACTTCTGGGGATGAGCAAAAAAAATTGATTTGCCGAGTTTGTAGGTCCAATTATACTTTATAAGTTCTATAAATGACTAGAAAAAGTATTGTTAGTTCTTACCCTCACCTGCAAAGTTAAAACATGTTACAACAGATTGCAACTGTCACTCTACCCATCCATTCACACTCCCTTATTTAAGCATATATCTCATAGTAAAAGTACACCAGAATCAACACAGTTGTTTGAAATACAACTGGAGAGTCATTATAACGTGTGGGATTGCTTGGAAAAACCACCATAAACCTGAAGTGACAAGTGTCCAAGGTTGAAGTGTACAGCAAGAATCAACAGGCATGCCAAACCCACACAGGCAGCTCTGACAAGGTGGCATCAACACCGTGACACCACCATAATGAAGGTATCAGTGTCCAAGGCCTACTCCTTAATTTTCCAGGCTCAGAGCTTCAACTATCAGTATATTTAGAAATATATGATCAGTCAATATATTCTAACTGTACTTCTAAGAGAACATTTATTTATCTCCAACAAGAAATCAAACTCAGGAGAATCAGAACATTCCTGTCCACAAGATCACCGAATTCTCTTCAGGCTGGAAATGCGATGTGGAAAGCTGTATTAAAAGAGCAACAGCTACTACTGAGTGAGCTTCTACTAGAGGCAGCATCACACTAGGTCTTCAAGTCTCCCACTTAATCCTCATGTCTTCTCATTTACGTCTCCCAGTCATCTTAGGAGGTAGGCATTATTTGTGCCATCTTAGGGACAGGGAGACAGATAGAGAGTTAAGTGACCTGAGGCTGCACAGCTATTAAGAAGAGAACCGGGACTGGAACCACAGCCGCCTGACTTTAAAGCCCCTACTCTTCCCTAGTACCACATACAACTTTCCCAAACAGCAGCTGAAAGTGGCCTGGTGATGAGCTGGGTGACCTTAGCATGAGCTATTCAGCCATCCATCACCACTAAGGGCCTGTACTCACTAGGGGGATCAAAACCCTGCCCACTGCTCAGTGAATCCCCTGCCCTGAACATGAAGAAAGGAACACTAAGTCTTCACTCTTTGAACTCCCATTTTACAGATGCCCTACCTCACCCCATCACTGTTCAGCTAACACAGTCTTTTCCTCAGTAGACAAGATAATTTTCTTAAAGGAAGGTATCTTAAGTAAATAAAAATGTAAGATCCAGGTAATCATTACCACCAAACATGCATATGAAATAAGGAATATTGCCATTTGCCCCAATTTCCTAAAAATACTAGACTGGAGAATGTGGGTGAGGAGCAAACAGTCTCCACGCCGACAAAGCAGCAGGTGTATTCCATTTTAGTCCAAGGACGCAAATGAGATAAACAAAGGCTTAGTTGAAATTATAACTGCCACAAAGAACTGATTTCTTTTTGTTAAAATAGGGTTAAGAGTCTAAGACAGTCATTTTGCATCTCAAGTCCCAGAATAAATCTGAATGATTTTCCAAGTTAAGTATCTATTAGTCCAGTGGTTTCAAATTTCTACCAGTAAAAACAAAATGAGTAATGGCATCATAATACCCAAGTCAAAGGCTACAAAGCTCAAAATTCAAGTTTTGCCAGTTAGAGGAACATGCAACAGGAAAATGTACACAGCTACAAGGCTTAATCTGCCAAAGTGGCACAACTGCTAGTGCCTACTGCAGAGGAGGCGCCCTAGAGACGGGATTCTAATCTTAATCAACATTTAACAATAGACTAATTAATACACTCCAGGATCTTTAAGCATGATGTCCAATGTTTTTGGTCTCTGAATGACAGCCTTGGATGAACAGAAATCCTAACGTCTCTAGCATTGAGGACCATAAAGTAGCCACAAAATGCTTGGAATTACATCTGAATGGCTTCATAATAGTATCTACTATTAGTTGAAAACCCATTATATGCCAAGTAATCTACATGTACCATCCCATGTAATAGTCAGATTGACTTTTACAACCCTTCTTGAAGATAATTTGGCAATAGTTACTAAAAGCCTCTCAAAAGACCTGACAATTCCATATCTAAGAATTTATCCTGAGAAAATAATCAGAAATGGGGAGAAAGCCTGAAGTATATACATATCCATGGAAATGTTACTCGTAACTGCTTCCAGTTTTCCCCAATCCAAATGCCCAGCAATAGGGAAACTGTTAAATAAATTGTAGTACACTATATGATGGTATATTATGTGCCCATTAAAATTATAAATTTGAAGAATTTGAAATGTTATGGGAAAATGCTAACAATGTAGTGCTGTCTGAAGAAAGACTGACATGAAATTGTTTATATAGTTCTATCATGTTTAAAAGATACATTTTAACTATACAAAGGGGAAAAATCCTTACCAAAAAAAAAACTACTAGAAAGTAAACTGCAGTTATCTCTGGGTTATGAGGTAATAAGTAAGTGTGTTCTTTTTTATCCTTTTCTATATGTTACAAGTTTCCTATGATTATGTAGTAGCTATCCAAAAAAAATACACGAAAATTACCTGTGAAAATACACATGCCAAAACCAGCTATAAGAGAAAACTTCAGTTTCCACTGGTTTAAAATAGTGTCTTACAAACCACAAATCATGCTGAGCGCAGAGCTGCGTTTCCAGGATCACAGTTACTGCTATTATTTGACATTTCAATATGCCTTTCATGTTAGAGTCCTTACACACTCTGCACACCTTTTTACCACATGCCACCTACAGGGGTAAATCATAACGATGTTTCAAAAATATAAAGACTTTAACTTAAAGTGAAACTAAGTTCTGATAATTGTTTGAAGTTTGCCCAGCCAAGCCTGCATCAAAGCATTAAACAGAGCCATAACTGGCTTCCAAGCCCACACTTGTATTAAGAGATGGAAGATGCCCAGCTTTAATCACATGTACAAGTAGAGATGGTTTCTATTCTAAATTTATCATCACATTATAACTACTATAATCAGACTAGAGCTGTTAAAAATGAACACTTTTTCCACGTGTATGCTTATGCACAATCGATGCTGATGTGAAAGACTGAATTCTAAACCAGTAATCCTCAATGTGGGGCAGGCATGCAAGACAATTCTTTACAGATACAGGAAGAAAACAGAAAATAGTAGCATTTTGATTTCCATTTATTTTAGTTCACCCTTCCTTAAATTCTATTCTGTACCTATTTATAATGTACAGAAAGTATTACTTCATGTATAAAATGTAATTGGTGTTTACAGTTATTATATACATGTAATATACATGCATATATACAATGCATATAACATTAGTTGATGTATATAATTTATTATATACATCACACAGATGCATGTTCCAAAACATTTTACTTAGGGGCACACGTGATCAAAAAAGTTTGGAGACCACTGGTCTGGACACACAGGGACAGGAAAGAACAGCCAGGAAGGTTTAAAAAAAAAAAGTCCCTTTAGAAATGGAATCAGAAATGAAAGTGAAGGAAAGAGAATGGAGAAGGTAAATAAGAGAAGTGAGGTAAGATGCCAGGAGAACTATGAGAGGAAGGAAGGAAAGATGAATAATATGGGAAAACCCTGGGAGGTAAAGGTAGGGGGGGAACCTCAAGTAAATGAAGATGACATATTTTCGGGTAAAAACTATAATGATGTTTACTATTATGATTTGGTGAAAGGAAATGACTCAAGTGTCTAGGGTGGATCCTGTTCCTCCCTGATGGGCAAGCAACTGAAAGACAACAGACCACCAGATATCTTAAAATAGATACTGTGTTAGGTTGCAATGGATCCAAAAGAACAAACTTGAAAAACAGAAGCTGTTTACGGCTATGTAATACAGGCTTAACACTAATTGGAGCCCAGGTTTCCATAGGCTAATTTGGCTTGAGAAGGAAGTAAATGCCAAAACACTGACCTAACAAATAAGAAAGAAATCGGAGTTAGCCTAATTGTTCAATTATTAAGGTATTCTTAGCCTTCTGGATTGGCAGAGGACAGTACCTGCCTTGACCATACAATTATTTGTCTTTCAATCTGACACCCTCTTTAATTTAGAATTTTTGTTACAGCCATCTCAACAAATGCAGGAGTAGAGACGATCTCAACCTTTGTCTTCTCCCAAGCCCTAATAACAACGAAATCAAATTACATTTTAATTTTTTCTTTCTCCTACCAGCTGGTGATTATAAGCAGGGTGACAACAGCTAGAGGGAAAAGAACAATTGAAAAAGCCACCTTCAAAAATATGAGTTCATTTTCCCTCCCTGCTTAAAGCATCCTCTCCTAGCCTTCCCCTTCAGGGATTCATTGACAGGAACTGGCTCTTGAGTTTTTGTGGATTAGTTTTAGTTACAAAAAATCCCTTTTACCAATTTCTCTGTACCTTTGGCCAGACTTTGTATCTGAGTGACACTGTGTGCCCTGAAATAAATTCTTTCTTGATGCTGAGCTTTATGCCAAGGTTCTAAAGTTCACACAGTGTAAAGGAACTGTACTCACTTCTGAACAAAATATTGACACATTTGTTTACCATAACACAGGGCAGAACAAGCTGTAGTTGGGCAATAGTTTTTGGAACTGTTTCATAACTGCAATAGGAAATAAAGATTTACATTTTGGGGCCTCGGAGGACTTCTATAATTTTCTTAATGTTTAGACTATGTCCTCCGAGGTCCACTTACCAAGTCAAGATTTAAATGTTTCAGTGTGAAGGCCACAGAGTTACTGTCACCAATTGTTTAGTGGCAGCCCCAAAGCATTCTGAAAATAAATTACTCTGCTTATTTAAAATGCAAGTGCAGCTTAACGTCTTTACAGCAGGGTAGGGAAATGAAACAACCCAATCACAGAGACGATACTAGACCATTTTAAAGCAAATATCCTCTTAAAGCACTGAGCTTTGAACTGACTCAAACTCTTGAGTTGTGACAAGAAGGAGGGATTTTGGCCTACTACCAGGGAAGAAACCAGAGAAACAAACAGTTTGCGTTGAACTAATAACTGCTTTTTTTTTTTTTTTAAAGAATTTAACCAGAAACGCATGTGGCAGGGAAAAGAGCATTTCCAAAGGCCTCATAACAAGGCAGTGCAAGTCTCAAACTTTTTCCTTCACTTAGAGTGCAAATCTCTGCGTTTAAAGGTGAATTACGTTTCCTTAAGCAGGAACCTTCTCCAAAAAAGCAGTTGAACATCTATCTCCCACAGTGATCCAAACTGGTATTTCTGGTTGGGGAAGCAGGATGTATGAACTCTTGCAAACCTAGGGCTTCTTCTGAGGTCCACGACGACACCCCAAGCTCGGGATAACATGAGGGCAGAAGTGGCCAGAGAGCCAGAAGGTGGGGCGAGCCGCCCAGGAGTCCACGCGCCGCCCGGGCTGCAGCGGGTGCGTCCGCGGTCAGGTTCTCCGCTACTGCCCCAGCACCCCACCCCAGGCTCGGGGTGCGGGGGGCAGCCACCGACTCCAGCTCCCTCCCGGCCGCGGGGGCGAGCTGGGAAGGGCCAGCCTGCTCTCCACCCCCCTCCGCCCCAATTCCTCAGCAGAAGCAAAGGGAGGGCGTGAGGCCCCGAGGCGGGAGGGCTAGCTCGGGAGGGAGGCCCCGCTCGCTGCCCGGCGTACCTGGCTCTCGGCTGCGGGGATGCCAGACTCGAGCTCGCACAGCGCGCGGAAGTTGTGCAGCTCGAAGTCGGCGTCGACCTGGAGGGAAAAGGTCACCTCGGAGAGGTCCCTCCGCACACAGTACACGGTGAGCAGCATGGCCCGGGCGCGACCCAGCTCGGCTCGGCCCGGCCTCGGCGCAGGGCGGCGGCGCGGCCTGGCTGCGGCTGCGGGCGGACGGCGCGGGGCTGCTCGCTCGCCCGCTCGCTCCTTCCCTCCCTCACACACGCTCAGTGACTCACTCCCTCCCGCCCTCACTAGCGAGCACGGCCGCCGCCACCCGCCTGCGACTCCGTCTGCCTGCCTGCCGGCCTGCCTCCCACTGCTGCCGCCAAGCGCGCCAGTCGCCCGGCGCCCCGCCCCGCCGCAACGCGGCTGCCGTAAAGCCCGCCTTGCCCTCTCCGCCTTCGCGACGCAGCGGAGGGGCGGGCCAGGGAAGGGGAGGCGGGAAGCGCGGAGAGGGTTGGAGGGGGCGTGGGAGGTCAGAAAGAGGGAGGGAGGGCGAGAAAAGGGGTGGGAAGGCAAGGAGGGAGGAGAAAGAAAAACGTATTGATTGATTTTATAACTGAAGTCTGTGGACGGCTTCACACTCGTTTATTCATCCAACAGGCATTTATTAAGTGCCTACCATGTGGATAGAAAAATGCGTAAAAACACAGGTCTTTGCCCTTAAGGAGCTCTCAAGCTAGTATAGGAGACTGAGAACTAAGCAGATAGTTCTAAAACGTATTTTCCGAAGTAGAAATTGAGGCTCAGAGAAGTTAATTCACTTCCTGTCCCGATGATTTAAGGTTAAAACCAAAATCCTTACCCTGCCTGATCTATAGAACCCAGCTCACTGTGGCCCATGCCTTTGTCTCCAGCTCGGCGTCCTGAGCCTTTCCTGCGCTCTGCCCTCCCAGCACGCTTTCAGTTCCTCCAAGGCTCCATTGCTCTGCCTTGTAAATAGTTTTCTCTCTGCTTGAACTGTCTCTTTCCTAGCCCTGGCAACCCCCAGTATTTCGTGCAGTGCTTTTATTGGGCACAGCCTGAAATCCACTCAATAAAATATTTGCTACTTTAATGGCCTGTTTAAAGCCACATAGCTGATGAGCGACAGAGGCCCAGAACATGAGGATGAGTTAGAAAACCAAGACGGAAAGAGGAAGATAAAATGGAAGATTGGCATCTCCCTGTTTACCCCCCTTTCCGCCATCCATGGAGTAGGGACCCCTCTCCTAATGGGAAGGAAGGAGGAAACAGGATGGCTATGGATGCAGGTAAATATGTAGGTTTGGTGGCAAGGAAGTAGGAGAATGACTAGCTGAAGACTTTTCTCTGTAAAGGAAGAGGGAGTGTCATCTGTGGAGAATGAAGAGAGGTGGAGGCGCAGAGGTTGGCGAAGAGTGACTGTATCAGCTACAGAGAGCCTGACTATCAGTGGCTTAAGCAAACAGGGTTTTATTTTTCTTACAGGATAGGAAGCTTGGAGGTAGACGGCTGCACTGGTTCAGTGACTCAATGATATCAGGGCCAATATTTCTGCAAATCTTTGCCTTTTTCCAAGGGTCCCAGTATGGCCGGCTGCCTCCACTCCGCGCATCATTTTCTTGTTCAAGGCAGGAGCTTGGCCAGAGGTCCCCCAGCAGGTTTCTGCCTACATCCCACTGGCCGGAATTTTGTCACACAGATGCAAGGAAGGCTAGGAAAGGGAGTATTTAGCTTTTCTCACCTCTTTAAAGGACATGGACAGGGGAAAGAGGGGTTGAGATTGGGTGTTAGGTGAGACATACATAGTGCCTACTACAGTAGAGAAGGTTTGCAATAACCATTGCAAGTTGAAGTTGAGCAGAGGAATAATGTAGGATTGCCAGGTGGTGTCAAGGATTCAGTTGAGGTTGGAATCATGGATTGATTAATTTTTCTGTTACATTTATTTCTAGTGGCACTCAGGTGCCCAGGTGTGACAGATTTTATTTTCCAAAGATGGCTATGACAATATCTCCCATCTTATAATGTTCTTCCTACAATGTGGTGACATTCTTTCCATTAAGAGATGTGTTATATGTCCCTCTGTTTGAATCATGGCAGACTGACTCTAGCATAAGTGTCACTGTGTGACTGCTAAGGCTATGTCATAAAAGGCAATCTAACTTCTGCCTGGTTCTCTTGGAACACTTGCTCTTGAAATCCACCAGCCATGCTGTGAGGAAGCCCAAACTACCCCAGGCAGTGAGACTACATGGAAAGAACATGCGTAGATGTTTCAGGCAACAATCTACATAAGATCAAAGCCAATTACCAGGAAAACCCACCAAGTACACGAAGTAAACACTTCTGGTTGATTTCTGCCCGAGCTGTTGAGTCATCTCCAGCCTTTGAGGCTTCCCAACTGAGGCCCCAGACATCATGAAGCCGTCTCTACTATACTGTTTTTGCATTCTTGACCCACAGAATCTGTGAGCATAATAAAATGGCTATTTTACATGACTAAGTTGGAGGTGGTTTGCCATGAAGCAACAATAACTGGCACACTGAATACAAGAACGGTCAATAAACTCCGAAAAAAAGAGAGAACTTTTTATTGCAATATAATATACAAAAAGAAAAGTACATATATCTTAAGTATATAGTTGTAAGTTTTCACAAACTGAACACACTTGCATGATCAGCACTCAGTTTATGATACAGAACATTATCACTACCTCAGAAGCACCCCCACCCTGTATACTCCTTTCCAATCACTAACTCGCCCTCCCACTCCCCTGCAAGTGTAACCGCTATCCTAACTTTTAACAGCATAGATTAGTTTTTTGGTTTTCTACTACATATAAATGGACTGATGCAGCATGTAATCTTATGTCTGTCTTTTGTCACTCAACAGTAAGTGGGTTTTGTCCATATCAGTGCATGTAATTATAGCTTGTACATTTTCATTGCTGCATAATATCTTGTTTTTATTTTGTGAATATACCACAATCATCCATTCTGTGGTTGATGGGCATTTGAGTAGATACATTTTGAATAATGGTTTCCAAAATTTGCAACCATGAGAATCCTAAATAACATAAGCCCACATCTCCAAACCCAGGGTACGCATGCCGTGAGCAGTTCTGAGTTCCCTCACTTGCACACACTTCACTCATTAAGTATTAGAAAGTTTAAGGTATTCACACAGTCATTCAACATATATTTTTTTTCTTAAAGATTTTATTTTTTTCCTTTTTATCCCCAAAGCCCCCTAAGCCAAAGTACGTAGTTGTATATTCTTAGTTGTGGGTCCTTCTAGTTGCGGCATGTGGGATGCCGCCTCAGCATGGCCTGATGAGCGGGGCCATGTCCATGCCCAGGATTCGAACCAGCGAAACCCTGGGCAGCCGCAGTGGAGTGCACGAACTTAATCACTCAGCCACGGGGCCGGCCCCCCAACATATATATTGAGCACCTACTATGCACAAGATATCCTTTTAGACAGAGGGATTTGAAGCCTAACCAGACAGATAAGGTCCCTGCCTCATGGAGTGCACATTCTAGTAGAACTGACAGACAATAACACAAATAAATAAACAAACAAAATAAGTACAGGCTTTGATAACTACTATAGAAGAAATAAACAGGATGACGTCATAGAGACTAGCTGGAGGATGGATGTTTGTGGAAAAACATGCCTTAGATGGGATGTTTCTGTGAAGGCCTCTCTGAGGAGGCGATATTTGAACTGAGACCTGAGGAATTAGAAATCAGCCATCTGAAGCACCTAGAGGATGTTTTCAGGCAGAATAAACAGGAAATGCAAAGGCCCCTAGGTGAGAAAGAGTTTGGTGTCTTGTTAGAAGAAAGGCTAGTGGGGCTGGAGTGAGTGGGAGAGAGAAAAAGTGGTAAATGAGGTGACAGGAGTAAGAAGGCACCAGATCATGTAGTGCCTTGTAGGCCACAGTGAGGCATTTGGATTTTACCGAAAGGGAAAAGGAAGGCCATTACAAGGGTTTTAAGTAGAAAAATTACATCATCAGATTTATTTTTTAAAAAGTTCATGCTGTCCAGAAATAAACCTTCACATGTACGGTTAATTAATTTACAACAAAGGTGCCAAGACAATGAATTGAGGGAAAGAATAGTCTCTTCAAAAAATGGTGTTGGGACAATTGGATCTCCACCTGTGAAAGAATGAATTTGAATCACTGCCTCATACCATATATGAAACTGACTCAAAATGGATCAGAGACTTAGGTGTAAGAGCTAAAACTATAAAACTCTTAGAAGAAAATATGAGTAAATCTTTGTAACCTTGGATTAGGCAAAGCCTAAGAAGGCATAAGACTTCTTAGATATGACACCAAAAGCACATGTGAGAAAAGAAAAAAATAGATAAATTGCACTTAATCAAAATAAGAAACTTTTGTGGTTCAAAGGACACAATCAAGAAAGTGAAAAGATGGGCTGGCCTGGTGGCACAGTGGTTAAGTTCACACATTCCACTTCGGCAGTCTGGGGTTCACTGGTTTGGATCCTGGGTGCAGACCTACACACCACTTGTCAGGCCATGCTGTGGCAGGCGTCCCACATGTAAAGTAGAGCAACATGGGCATGGATGTTAGCTCAGGGCCAGTCTTCTTCAGCAAAAAGAGGAGGATTGGCAGTAGATGTTAGCTCAGGGCTAATCTTCCTCAAAAATAAAATAAAATAAATTTAAAAAAAGAAAGATAATGTTTGCAAATCATATCTCTAATAATAATAAGGGACTAATTAATAATTAAATAAGTAATTACTAATTAATTAGTTAATAATTAATAATAAATAATAAGGGACTTGTATCTAAAATATGTAAAGAATTCTTACAAGTCAATAATAAAAAGACAACCCCAATTTTTTAAATGGGCAAAAGATCTGAAAAGACATTTCTCTAAAGAAGAGAATTTATTCTTCCTTTTAAAGAAGATATACAAATGACCAATGTGAAAAGATGGTCAACGTCATTAGTCATCAGGGAAATGCAAATCAAAACCATAATGAGATACACTTTCACATCCACTAGGGTGTCTATAATCAAAAAGATAATAACAAGTACTGCTGAAGATGTGGAGAAATTGGAACCCTAATACACTGCTTTTGGGAATTTAAAATGGTGCAGCCACTTTGGGAAACAGTTTGGCAGTTCCTCAAAAAGTTAGGCATAGAATCACCACATAATCCGGCAATTCCACTCTTAAGCATACACCCAAGAGAAATGAAAATAGACATTCAGACAAGAACTTGTACACAAATATTCATAGCAGCATTATTCATAATAACCAAGGAGTGGAAACAACCCA